GTTAACCGATTATGTAAAAAAAGAGGTATGTAACGTTTTTCGTTACAAAGTTAGCTTGAAATAATCACATAAATTAAACTATAATACTCATTCGTAAGGCAGATTTTGATGATCCTGTTGGTTTAGTCGTTAAAACATTTTTTTTCCAGTACGAACTAGATCTACCAATAGATGTAAAGATCGGTACAATCGGTCGCATCAACCTCCAGATTCCCTGGACAGGGCTCTACACTCAGCCTGTAATAGTACACGTTGAAGATGTCCTCGTGCTCGTCGGACCGGCCATTTCCAACAGCCATTTCGACCCCGAGCGAGAGAAACGCCTCACTAGAGCTGCTAAAAGAAAGATACTTCAAGATCTTGAAGCTGAGAGTGAAATTTTAAAAGGACCTCAGAATTTTTTTGAGAATTTGTTCACGGCGATTGTGAACAATATACAGATTTACGTAAGGAATATTCATGTGAGGTATGAGGACTCCATAAGCTCCAAAGATGGACCGTTGGCATGTGGTCTTTGTCTGCAGAGTCTGTCTATTGAGACAACTAATAGGTAAGCGTGTTTCTTTTTCAAAAGTCACTCAATCGACCTTGATCATGTTCCAAAATTTGCTTAGTTGGTACAGCGTCTGGCACGGTAAGCTAGAAGACGTCGGTTCGAATCCGGCCGGATGGAAGGAATTTTTTCTGAGTGTTCGATCTTTGTATTAATGATTACAACAAACTAGTGGAGTAATTTCACAAAAAATTATTGAATATCAATTCAACAGAAATTTAAAGGACTTAATTGTTATTGATTTATATTTGAGAACGTTTAGTAGCAATAGCTCTTGCTAACGGTAAAGATCGTGATGCTGAAACCTCCACGTCGAAGACTTTTTATAACCCTTGGAAGCCCTGTGAAGTCCTCAACCCGCATTGAGGTTAGGGTGGCCGACTAGGGCCTGAACGTTCTCTTTAGAGTGCCCAGCAGCAGTAGAACGTTTAAAGGGCTGATGATGGCGTCTACTGACTGATTAATTCAATGTTTAAAAACTATTTACATTTGCTTAAAGGTATATAATATATATATGTATATATAACCAACTACTCAGTATACGGTTTCAAATATTAATATATCGGCTTTTACGTTGATTGTTCCAGCAAATGGAAGCCCTCAGTGACACCAGCAAACGCTTCAACGGTGTATCAAATGATGCGCATAGAATCACTTTCTCTGTACTGGAATCCTACGGCCACCGCGCTTGACGACAACGAGACAGCCCATATCACACCCATGCAGTATTATAATTGGAAGCATTATATGTTGACTGGGTTGAATAAGTTCTCCATGCATCACGAGGATTTTGAATTTCGTAAGTATTGTTGTGAGTAAAGAAAGGTCTCAAGCGGGTGTTGCTTCTTACGCGTATCAACGGCTCAAACGGTTTTGTTATTCCTCTATTTACTACGACGTAGAACAACGACTGGTTTGGCAACGATGCGGGTTTGTCAGGTATAAGACAGAGACAGGAAATAAGCCCTCATGTGAAAGTAATGTAAAATGTGGAAGTAATGAGGAGTGCACGTGCTAAGGACAATGTGTTAGTGCGGCAGAAATGAAATCGCGTCTTGAATCTTAATTTGTCTTATACAATTTGTACCAACAAACTCTCCACAAATATAGTCATTAAGTAAGTAGACCTATCTTAAAATATACCACACAATAAAATGAATTGTCGAACGAGGCAGGGAGTCAGAGAGGAAGTGAAATACCGAGAGTGAGGTTTTGAAGTTATAGACTTTTTTAATTTTAAAACAACCTGGCTGAAATCTAAGAGGCACCATTCTCTATCCTTCTAATAGGTAGGAGGTGCTATATTGATACGTGACATATTTTTATTTCAGTGCTAAAACCAGTTACTTGCAAAGTAAAGGTGTTGATCAATCGGTCCGGTGAAGCCCGCGTACCGCGTCTTCTGCTCGACGCAGTATTGGCTGACAGTGCATCACAAGTGTCTCGCCGACAGTATCTCTCCATCTCCAATCTGCTCGATTCATTCGCTCGAATCAAGCTTAATAGGTGAGAAAACTAACTTTCACGCTTGCTCGGCGCTGTAGGTCATCTTTGACACCATTACGCTGATCCTCATTCTGTCTTTTAGACTTACAGTATACATAATGCACAAACATTATCTTACATTCTATAGTTTCAAAGTGTTCCTTCTATCTTTCAAGTATGCATTCGTCTTCTTTTTTAACATTTCTATTCTGATCTCCGTATTAGTTGCGAGTTAACATTACCTTACCCGCTGTTATAGAGTTCTAAAATAATTCACTCTTCCTCGAAATAATATTCCAGACAAAATGGCTGACTGGTTGGGCCACCTAGTGACACATTGCTTTTAAAGTAACGATCTAACGAGGATTATTTTTATAAATTTAAATCCTTTTTTTCACAGAAAATATCGCCATCTACATCCGGGCATTCCACTGTCCAAAGACATTAAAAAATGGTGGAAGTACGCCTACAACGTGGTCCTTGAACAGCGCATACGTCCCTACACTTGGGCAGCAATTAAGAAGCATCGAGAAAACTATAACATTTACAAAAAGACGTATAAAAGTACATTGAGGAGCCCTAACGACACTGAATTGAAACTTGACTTGCAGAAATGTGAAGACAGTTTGCCGATTATGTCGGTTGTTATTGCGAGAGAACAGGCGAAGTTTGAGGTAACGAAATTTCTTGCAGAATGGGGAAAGACCACAGACCAAATAAGTGGGAAGGAGTATTCATCTGTCTACAACCTTATTATAAGTCTCGCTTGTGAACTCCTTTTTGTTCAAGACGTCGATATCCATAGAGCGAAGATAGATGAAAAGTGGGGAAAAATATACGTCGATGTACACATTTCGTTCAGATTAGGGATGCCTTGTTCAAAGTATCAATAATAAATGGGCATGTACGAAGAGACTGGTATGAATACTGAAGGTGAAAGGTGTTTGTCAGGAGTGTAACGCGTGGAGATTCATGATCTCGGAGGTTCAGGTAAACGGATCCACAGTCTGTCAGCCCACGTCTGTCGACCTGACGTACAAAGCAAGCCGGCTTTATAAAAGGTCACAGTGGCTGAATAATAGGGGATGCATGTTGTAATTACTTCGAATTCTTTCCAGAAGGTAACTGATAGTGAAAAAATTTCGAGAGGCGACCACATATGGAAGAATCGTATAGGAATTCTCTCCACTAGCTCGTCTTCATTAGGTTATTCGTTATTCGATGTAAGTGACCAGGATCGTGCGTAAGACTCCTATGTTCAATTGTGCACATCTTTTGGCCGATGAGAATGAGGGTGACGATAGCTATTTATTAAGTTTATTCCACGTGCACCGATAGCAGATTTCCTGAAATTGTGGTGCTCCGTGTTTTAATTTCATCATCATTCAATTGTTTAGAATCGCTTACATCTCTTGGAGTGTCCTTCAATGCAACGATAATTTCACTTCACAAGATTACTGGGAAAGATACATATCTCACACACTTCGTTAATAGGTGCTAAGATATAAAAAACAGAATTACAACAGATTTTGTCAAATATTCCTAATCGGAAAAAAACTCGACCTGTATCGTCCCCGGCTCAAAAGTTCCCATTATACTGGCAGCATTGCCTAGCTGGACGGTAATGGACACCTACTGAACCAACCACGATCAAGAGCGGTAATAGGTCGACGACTAAGATTTTTTTCTATCGCTGGTATTTCCGGACAACGATTTCATGAGTGCAACTCTGTTTAATTTACTTATTTATATTTATGAAATTGCTACAATAATGCATTGAAATCCGGAAATTCGAAAAATATCAGAACATGTTTTTTACATTGTGGTCTTTCTTGCGTTAGCACTGATGGAAAACCTCGTGAGCAAGATAGAAGAACAAATACCACAAAATTGCCTGCAGCGTGATTGACTTATTGTTCAATGTATTTGTAGACTTTCGTATCTAGATGTGACATAATTATTGTTTGATGTTACAAACATTAAGTACGTTTTATCTCCACAGGTCCTGTCACAAGAACCAGAGCGTATAGAAGTAGTAGAAACTGAGACAGACTGGTGGAGACCGGCTAGCTCCGACTCGGAAATCGATTCCGAAACGGAGACGAAGGCTCATGTGGAATTATGTGTTAAAACAGAGAGGTCAAAGTCCTTATGGAGCCACTTGTCCAGCCCTGAAAAAAAGAGGGTGTGTGAATTGATAGGGTATGTGGAAGGCGCGCCGAGGAGTGACAAGTCTAAGCAGTATATTGGTAAGTTCTGCAACTTTCTTCAAGCAACACTTCTCGCTAGCAGTGAAGGAGAACATCGTGATAAAACCTGCATATCGATGAAGGCTCACAATGTTTGGAAAGCGTGTGAACTTACCATAGGTATAGGAAAAAAGGGGAGATTTGGTATGGGGGCGTGGTTCGTGTCGCCTCGATATGATCAAAATGATTATAACGAGGTGACACGCCTACAAACATCGTCATGGCCATCGGTGCGTACATGCCTCTACCTCCCATTCCCGGTTTTATCCAATATCTCGGCTACACGGTTCTGTGGAAAAGGCTGCAATTTGGAAGGAAGCATTTTTAGCCACCCTAAAACGATGGAGTCCGTCCAAAATATGACCGAGCGAATGTTTGCACGCAAGGAATTCATAGCCTTTTCGTAAAGACGCACACCAACTAACGCGCCACATAATTCGAGTCTAGGAATCGTGGTAGACTTTAAGGGTGCAACATGACTTTTACCCATTAGAATCACAAACCACAAATCCTCCATCCACTTTGGCACTCCGAATATACAAGCTTGCACCATACGCTCGCGCAGAGGCGTCAGTAAAAATGTGAAATTCGATGAACTTGTATGCATCACATAAAATGCGTCGCGGTACATGTAACTTACTTAAAATTGGCAAATCGTCCACCATCGCAATCCAAACCTTGCTAATATCTGGGGACAGCTCATCGTCTCATGACAACCTAAGTAACCACAAATCTTTAGAAGACCCAATGGATGGATCAAACACTTTGTACTACCTTTTGAGAGCGAATGATCAATAGGGAAACACAGTTCGTCTTGCGAACTCACCCAACCTAAACCCAACGTTTTACTTGGCTCATTATTTCCGATATTTAAATTGACTGACGACTGAACAGACTCTGTCACCAAAGAAGCTTCATTTGACTTCCATTTACGTAAAGGCATGCAATAAGAAGCAAGCTCAGAAGTAATCTTCTGCCGTATCTTCATTTCGTTGAGATCGACCCCTCCAGAAAGCAAATCGTCTGCATAAAAGTCATGCAAGATGATTTCACTGATATTTTTTTCTGTGCAATTAAACCTATTTGCTTTAAACTTCTGATAGCAAGAAACGGTACACTAGCTGTGACATAGGTCACAATGTTTAACTGATATGCTTCAAAGGTTTTGATGAATCGTCTCGTCAAATTATTTGTTGCAAACACCTATCGTCGGGATGAATGGCCACTTGCCTGTACATTTTTTCGACATCGGCAGCTATGACGTACCTATGTTGCCTAAACCTGAGAAGGATGGACAATAGGTCGTCTTGTAGGCCCCACCATTTGCAAACTGTTTAACGACACACCTGTAGTAGTAGAACTACTCGCATTGAACACAGCTCGTAGTTATGTAGTTGAGCTACTTGCTCGCAACACTCCATGATGCGGTATATAATGAGCCTTACTTGTCAGTTCAGTCTCTGTCATGTGATCTAAAAGTTCATATTCGGCCATAAAATCTTTATACATTTTGCCTAACAAAGGTTGCTTAACAAGCCTTTTTTCCAAGGACAGAAAACACCTTTTCGCTTTATCGAATGATTCTCATAACAAATGTGGAGACTGCTTCAACGGAATCCTAACACAAAATCGGCCATCATCCAACCGAGTTGTATTTTTTACAAAATGTTCCTCACATAATTTCTCTTTTTGAGAATGAACAAACAAACTTCTTCGAGCTGCCAAAACCTCGTGAGGTGTGAGGTCGATAATCCCGTCAACTTGCCCAGAAACTAGCCACCCTAGCTTAGTTTCAAATAGGTTTCCCGACTCCTAACGTTATTCGATTCGATCCCAACAGGTCCCAAAATAGGTCGGCACCAATTAATAAGTCTATAGCCTGTAGCTTATAGAAGTTAGAACAGTCAAACAAACATTTGAAGGCAGATCAAGGTTAGTCAAATACATCTGATGACAAGGTGTATTTTCTGTAATGGTAGGTAAAACGAAACACTGAAAACTCGTCGAATACATTTTATTTATGTGAGATGTAATACAATTCATTCCCGTAATAGATTGATCTGTATGTTCAACCGGTAAGTTTAATTTTTGGAACATATCCTCAGTAATAAAACTGGAAGTACTACCGCTATCTAAACAGCACGAGCAATATGTTACTAACGCGGTGGATAACAACACATCGCTTTGTTTATCTTTACTCGGCACCAATACACTCGCAGCCAACGAAGTACCCATATTGTTTATTTTGTCATTCATAGAAAGCATGGTCGCCGTTTGACCATCGGGTACAGCTGATGAAACTCCACTATCCAAAAACGGTTTCGATTTAAAATCTGCCACATGAACAAGAGTTATGTGTCTACGTTTGCACGTCTTACACCCAGGTTTTTTGCAACGATTCGTATAGTGACCCGTACTAAAGCAATTATAGCAAACTTTATAATCGGGTAATAATCGTAATCGTTCCTCATTACTTAACGCACGAAACTGTGAACAGTTGAATAAATTATGATCGCCATTGCAATTAGGGCAAGATTTAGGAGCCAATGAAGCGCTACGAATGTTAGGGTTGTTTTGAGTGGACATCATTGCCTTTATTTTCAAATTATTGTTGGCCTTAACAAGCTGATGAGCCGAATGGACACCTTTTGACAAGTCTTAAAGTCTCAATTAAATCAGCATGATTGCGTAAAAAATAGTCATAAATGTTTCATAAGATATACGTTCATTTTTGTCTAAACGTTATACTCTTTCCACTCGCGGTATGTCTTTGAGTCTAATTTTTGAGTAATTAAAGGAGTGTCCCAACTACCCACTGGTTCGCCTAAAGTCTCCAAAGCACGCAAATTTTTATTTATATGATCAATTGTACGTTTCAAACTGACCGACGATTCATTTGGAATTTGTTCAATATTAAACAATGCGGAAATGTGATTTTGTATCAACAGTCGTTCATTGTCATACCAGTCACACAGTATCTTCTATGCTACAGCATAGTTTTTATTTGAAAAATCGATAGACTGAATTACAATCGCCGCGGAACCCTCCAAACATGCATACAGGTAATGGAACTTGTTAATATCATCTCTTTCACTATTAAAATGTATCAGGCTGGTAAAAGTGTCATGAAAGCTAACCAATTTTCATAAGCACCTGAGAACTTTAGTAACTGAATAGTAGGCAACCGAACGAGATGATTACCGCTCTTGGCGCTCAAAAAACCTTTGTCACTCGCATTGTCCTCTTGACATTGACTATATTTTTTGATAACTTCTCGAGCCCTTGACATCAATTTGTAATACTGAGACTCATAGTCGGTACGCTCGGTTAACTGAGAAGCCATATCATCAGCAAGACATTCTATATTTGTTTGAACCTCATCATACTGATCCTACAAACCTTCCAGCTTATCAGTACGCATTTGCAATTCAGTGACTTCTGAGGAGTCAAGTTCTGAAACATCAAGTGCATTCAAATAAGTTGCAAATACAGTGAGACGGCCCTTAAGACTGGCTCGTTTTCTAATCAACTCCTTATATTCATTTTCTTTGGACATTCTGGGAGACGAACGTAAAAACTGGAACACAAAATATTAACTTTAACATCTATATACATTCTTGAATGCTGTAAATTCGTCAAAAACCATGTACAATTATACTCCCCAATCACTACTCTAAAAAGAAACAATAGAAACTTGCATAAATTAAAACTCCCCACAACCACTCTCAGTTTGTACAGGTCGGGCCCACACTCAATGGCAATTCAAATTTATAATAATATACCTAATGAAATAAAAAACCAGGAAAAATTATCAACGTTTATAAGCCACCTAAAGCAGTACCTAATAAATAAATCATTCTATACAATAGATGAAATATTAAATAAAAGTAAAGTACCATTTGTCTAGTCTTTGAATAGATTAGTTATTATTGATACTTGTAGTAATTGTTATTTTAATTTTTTTAAACAGTAATTTAAGTAATAAGTTGTTGGCATATTATTATATAATGTATAATAAAAGTTAAGAATATTTATAATTTAATAATATTGGTAGTGCTCTCTCAATTTGCAGCGCCCTTACAGGGTGTCACTTGTAAAGGTACAATATTAATTTTATAAGATCTTATGTAAAACCATGTGACAAGCAAATAAAGATATGAATATGAATATGGAACATAATACAATATTAAGTGAAAAGTAAGATGTAATTTTTATTTAACAAGGCAATGGTATTGTTTAAAACAACTAAATAAGTAATAAGACCGTAGTACGTAACACAAAGTCTTATGCTATAATCAACACACAATATGTATTATGATATTGACAAAGATTAATGTTAGCACTGTTATAAGTATAATAAGTAATTATAAGCAGCTAAGAGAAAAGGTCACAAAATTCTTTATAACCTGATTTTAACACTAATGTTTCGTTATTTTAACCTTAGTCGTCGTACTGATTTCAGTAGAACATAAACGGAACTAAACCTGATATAAGATCTGTTTTTCGCTAAAATTGACACGTAATGAACACCTACCATCAATTTAACTTTTAGCAGACCCTCTTGTCTCACTGGAAAATAATCTAAATAAATTATGTACCAACTAAACTTTTGAAATTAACGATTTACATTGTAAATACTAACTGGCAAGAGTGATGGGCATATTATAAGCACAAATAAAGTTATTAAGAAGTATTTTAAAGACCAATCTCAACCTAGAATCCAAATTCTTCTCTCTTGATAGTGTATGATCTTTCCGTTCGTACAGATGTAATTAATTAGTTTAACCACTTAACTCGTATTCAACTTCGGATACTCAATTTCTTAATTTCACCAGAATCCGGCTACGATCCAGGACCATGTAGGGGCCAGGCAGTTTTCAATAATAAATTCAATGTAAATCTTTTTTAAGAGAATGACATATGCCAAGTTTATAAAAAGAACATTGCGCTACAAAGCAGTTTTAACTTAAGCCTAAATACTTACCAACCTGCAATGGGCCAGAGTGGCGTCTTTATTTAGAGGAGACTCGTGCCCAATTGTATCTATATGTAGTTTTATGTACCCGGAAATCGGCGCTAGTGTTAATGTTAATTTTTAATTTTAGTCATTCACAACATGAAACATATTAAATGTTGCGTTTTCAGAGCACAAGATAAACTTAACTCTAGCAAACTGTTCACTGACTCTGATGAATCGCAACAAGGAGGTGCTGGTGGTCACTCTCACGCAGTTCCTCGCTTCGCTGGAAACCAGACCTTCGGCTAAAGCGTATAAGGTATCAAACCGTATACTAAAACACATATCGAATCCTTAGATACAACAGTTTTTTATGGTATTCTAAACGAGAAATAGTCTGATGGTTCACCTGATATTTACTGCCTTTCAATCTGGAACGTGATTACAACCGTCTGCGGATATGATACATAAGAGGGCTGTTGGATGTAAGATTTTAAGTCGCCTGTAGTATCCTGAACAAAGCAGCACGGATAACTTAGAATACTATTCAGAAAAATATCCAGGCGTATTCTGAACAGACATTGGAACCCTATCTTTCTACCATTTGTTTTTTATGTTTAAACTCCTTGATGCCTTGATTGATTGTTGAAAATTCGATGTTAAGGTTCTAATTAAAATTAAAACAGCCGTTAAACACAATTTCTTACAGCTCTCTGCCCGAACAGAAAGCATAGTGATCGAAGGCGCGTCTTCAGACGGGGACCTAGTGCCTCTTCTCACGGCAGAACGAGGGTCTGCTCCAACTAATGCCAACTTGTTGGCTGTAGACATCGAGAAGAACCCATTGAGCAGCGAGGCTGATTATGGTCTTTGCTGGCTTATGGAGCCGGTGGAGATTGTCTATGTTGAGGTAAATGCTCAGAGTCAAGTTGAAGCTCCTTAAGATGGTCCAGAAGAACTTAACATCAAGATCTCGTTTGGTACCGAACCGATAACTGTAACGGATGCAATCCCACCTTAATGACATAAATAGATAGGTAAAACGGTTATTCGTCACAAATCTAGACACACGGTAGTGGCTGACAACGTTTTTGACCCTTATGACTTAAAATCGATTTGAAGCCGCGCAAAGTAGCCTTCAGTTTCCCTCGCTAAGCCAGGAGGAAGGCAGCTACTCTGACCAAAGAATAATCTTAGCCCCCGAAAGTTGCCAGCCTTCGGCAATATTCCCCAGGGCCGGTCAGAGCTTGAAAGTTTATATTCTTTTTCCTTTTCTTCTAAGCATCAGAATGGCTCAATTTTACTGCAGTTGCTGGTATCTGTGGTTACTGCGAAACGAGTACAACATTTTAACATCTCTTGTCCCCAGCACGCCTTCACGGAGCTAATAAATTTCTTCCAAACCCATTCGATGTCATCGGAAGAACTTGCCGAGGAGTTAGCCCACGTGGCGCTAAAGGCAAAGGGAGTCAGCAAATCTGTGTTGGCGTACGCCGTCAGTCGCAGGAAAGTGTTCAGTGTCAACGTGGACGTGAAGGGGCCTTGCGTCGTTGTGCCAGAACATGGTTGCATTACCAAGTAAGTTAGGTCACAAATTTGTGAAAAACAGATGTAGTCTTTCTATCTTTTATTGATTGGAAGAGGATATCAGTCAATAAAATTGTATATTATAGGATGGGTTATGATTACGCCCAATCAATTGTCTCGAGAAAAGGCACGGTGTCAATGTCAGGTTCTGTTAATTTTGCCGGAAAATAGCTTAAGATTTTGTGTCAAGACGGCAATTTCAAGTTTTTGCTTTTTAAAACGTATAAAAATGCATCCTTAAAAAATAATTATCTGACTGTGGACGTGGATGAACCCACGTCTTCTTTTTGACTAAGCTTCGATAATACGTAAATTCAAATATTTTGCTATCAATTTGTGAATGTTGATATATCTATACTAAACCAAAAATTTTCCAGTAAAGGAGTACAGCTTTTGAGTACTTGCATACCAAAAATGCAGGTTGTGTTGATCTAGGAAAATAAATATTGAAATAAATGAGTATACTACCTCAGATGGCTTTGGTTGATTCCGCACAGCAGTGAAAGTGTTGAATGAAATACTTTGGAAAAAATATGTAGTAAAATTGATGATATACACTAATAACTATACGGTGCGAAAATACTATTCCTAAAAATTTTCACGATAGATAAAAGAAACGCAAACCTACTTCGAAATTTTGAAACAACCTTAACAATTATCAACTATTACCAATTTTTTTTATATCAACTCATTGACTTACAATTATATGGACGTCGGGACCGCGCTAAAAAGTGTCCGAACTTATAGGGCGTTAAAATCGTATACAGAGCGTCATTCACGCTTTAGTCTTCGTTTGTTCGACTGACAGCGAAGCAAGCAAAATTAGACAGTACTGCGATGACATTACAATTTAAATTCAACGTTTTAGCTTTTTCATATTCCTTTACATGTCACTACGTTTAAATAGGTTGACTTGGGACATTTTTTTCGTGGTTTTTGTGTTAGACCCGTCGTCCATTTATTTGTAAGTCAATGTATCAACTGAACTAAATACAACGCGTACTATACGATATACATTTTTCAATTTCGTTTCTAAAAAAATAAATTCTAATATAGCCAGTTCCCCAGCCGCTTGACCTAAGCAAAACGAACCGTATTAAGTAGTACGGGAAAAATTTGGATTCGAAAGGTAGTACCGACTCTTAGGGTCATATTCTAGAACTCTACTCAATGCTCAAGTCAGGATTGCAATTGAAACACAAGCACTGGAAATACGACCCTAATGGCAGGGACTTGAGTATGATTTCGAGTGCTTTAAACCATACTCAAATCCTGACTTGAGCATTGAGTAGAGTTCTAGAATACGACCCTTAATGTGTTTAGATTTTCTTGCTCATTGTAATCAGAATTTGATGAATGTGACGATTTCAAGTGTAACCTCTTTATCTTTGAAATAGCGATTATTTGAGTTTGAATTTGATAGAATTTATATTACATGTGCATAATTTATGATTGTGACAATGGCGCCATTGGTATTGCAGTAAAAATGTGTCATATTTTAGATCGGGCAGAGTAATGATTCTGGACATCAGTCGAATAATAATAAAGTCGGATCTGCAGCCTTCTAACCTCGCCTTGGAGGACGCCACCTGCATGGAGTTAGAGGAACGGCTCTACGACAGACTGCATGCCGAGTGCTCTTGTCAGGTTAGATAGTCTTTTTTTTATGAAATATAAGTGCGCGTTTGACCTCCATCTCACTTGATGGAAAGTGCACGCACATTTAAATAATGCCTATTCACTCTCGCCTTGAAAAGGCCCAAGTTATAACGTCGAGGGAACAAGTCTGCAGGCAGGGAATTCCACTCCATAGCCGTTCGCTATAAATGTGGAAGCGTAGCGCTTCGTGCGAATCTTTGGAAACCTACGCCTAGTCCCCCGGTGATGGAAAGGGGAACGTGGAATTAAATCGTGTAATTCCATCGCACACTCTCCGTGATGTATGGTGTTCAAGGCTCTGCAGCTTCGCCTTTACTGATTCCGAGTCACCTATAAGCCTCTTGACACGATTGTCAATTGAATCCGAAGTGGCCAGTTCATAGGTAGCAGAGCCATCCCAAAGGTGGCAGCAGTACTCCATGCACGACAGGACTTGTGCTTGGTACAGCTGAAACAGCTGTCCCGGTGTAAAGTGTGTAGTCTACTGATAGAGTCATGTTTATGCTGTATTTGCGATACATCAGTATCAACTCGGTAATAAAGTGAAGGAAATCGACCTGCAAAGAGTCCGAAACGTTGGTTGCAAACAAATATTCACAGACCTGGAAAAAATAATTTATTCCCAATTTTTGGAAACCAAAATATCAAAGAACGTATGTTCGATACGACATTTGATTGATGTTAAATAAGGCAAAATTTTGCTTGATATAAAAAACAATGAATTAGTTTTTAGTACGTCATTTTTAACCGACTTGAAAAAGGAGGAGGTTCTGGATTTTACTGTATTTTTTTGTATGTCTGTTACGCGATTATTTCGACGTCGATTTGTGAACTGATTTTGACGATTCTTTTTTTGTTGGAAAGCGGATAAATGTTAATCGCCTAAATGAAAAATATGTCATTCAGGTGTTGTTCTGCGAGTGGCTAGGGCCGTGGCGTGAGAGCCGTAAGCACGCGGACTCGGAGCTGCACTTAATACCGAAGCTGAAAGCCCAGGTCGTCTTCTCTAACAGCATCAAGAAGGACTATAAGCTGTTGCCCAGGTAATTTATTATTGATATTCGACAATGGTAATGATTATTACACCAAAGATGGCGGATAGTATTTAAAATAAAAATATTTTACTTGTCAAAAGTGCTTTTATCACACGAAAGTGATAAACATAACACATACTATGGATGTGAAATTTTGCAACTCTTTTATAGCAGAATCTTTAACCCTCTCTCATGAATAGTTGCCATTTTGCAGATGTGCCCTTATAACACCAGAGGTGCGATTTTCAATGTTTTGACAGTTACATTTAAAAATTTTAAAGGTTCCTGGCATGGCAACTTCCCAAATATTGGTATAGCTAGACAGAGAGCGTACCAAAACTTTGGACACCTTATGTAGCATTAGAGCTCCTTGTGAAAGAGGTCGTCCAGGGAAGTAATGCTACCTTACCTATTTCTGCCGCCAAGTAGTAATGTAAGCATTACTGTGTTCCGGTTTTGAAGGGTTAAGGGTGCTGGTGAAATTACAGGCACATGGGACTTGTCAACTTATGTCTCAGGGTGACAGGCGCAGTGACAGTGCCCCTAAGATCTTTGCGATTTAAAGCTCTGAGTGGCACTGCAACTGTTATGGACAGGCGTGTCGCTTACCACCAGGCGCACGACTTGTTCGTCCCATCACTCAGTATTATAAAAAAACCATGTAATTTAGTTTTAGTAATTTTAGATTTGAATATCCTTTACTATCATTTCTTGAATAATTGTGCTCTTTATGGCATACCTCAACATGTTTGCTGTTTCCTAGTCAATTTCCACGATTTTCCGGATCAGTTTTTACGATAATGATGTTCGATGTCCACAGGTACAAGCTGAATATATCACTATCAAGTCTCAAGTTAAATTTGTCTGACCGCATTATCGGTCTTCTCCTGGACTTCGTGGACAATCTCCCGGTTCCGGTTCCGAACACGGTTCCCGTCTCATTCTTGGACTCGTGTGATTACGCCGAGGAGTTGGAGGACCCTGACCTGGTGGAAACCTTTAACCAGGACAAAGTGGAGGCTGATCCAGGTTACAAGGAGCTGGTTAATTTGCGACAGAAGATCGTTGCTGCTTATCTCAAAAGAAATAAGTAAGACTGCTGTAGTTTTGAAACTACATAATGTACATAGCACTTACAGTGTAGACCACAGAACAATAAATACAGTAGAAGTGGTTAGTTAGCGTCAGACGCGTGTCAACTATATAGAAAAATAGAAAAAAAAGCGATGGAAGTGCCCTAAGCCTCGATTACTGTCTGAACCCATGTCTTTAAAACACACATTCTTAATTTGACACAAACTCTGGATATTCAAAATCAAATCAAAAATCATTTATTCTCAGGCAACTACAGTCCATATTTTACAGTTATAATATTAGCTTAGATAATTCAATAGGTTTACACACATTAAAATAAACAAAAGGCAACTTAAAAACATAGAATAATTAAACAAATTAAATTAAATATCAAATAAATCATCGACATGGTTTTAAATGCACTTTCATGCAATGTAGCATGATCGGTCAATCCACTCTACCAGCCACAACGCGCAGAATCTCATTCGTGCCGCAACGGATACGACTTATTAATGAGGCAGCTCTCTTTCTAAGGATAGCTTGGAAACCATCCGTGTGGGCATCCGCGAACATGCCTGATGCGCTGCAGTACCGTGGCAAACCCAATAAAACCCTGAACGCGTTGTTGTACTGAAATATTGATTGGTCGTAGTTTCAAATTTAAAAAGAGATGACAAATTCTGTATTGTTAATGTAATTTAAACTTTACCCTGTTGGCATATCGTTGAAAGTTCAATACCATCAATACCTATTATTACAAGTTACGACGTTTTAATATTATATTGAAAATTCAATCAATGTGCTGCCATCTAGAGGTTAATTGTGAAACGACGACGAATTGGAGTTATTAATTTAGTTCTCCAAAAAAGAAGCGACCATATTGCAGGGGTATAGGCTTTACTTGCGTTTCTTGTAACAAAAACATTATTTCGATGAACAGAAAATTGAAAATTTATTAAAATAAAACTTTTCGATGATATGAAATATCACCACGGGAAATATTTTTTAAACAGCACAATAAGGTATTTTTTTTGTATTTTAGAGACTTTGCACGAAAGAATGACACAACCATACCATACAAGCATCTGGTGTCTCAAAGTAGCTACTATTTTAATAATCCAATAAACCAATTACAGGGCATCCGAATCAACGTACGACAAGGCAGCAGCTAAACTGGGCTTCATAGAATGCGACACAGCGTTCATATCTTCAGAGCACAGCGATGAAGATATGGAGATCTATGCTCGGTCGGTAGACCTGCCTGGTTTTGATGACAATGTGTCGCCGAGTAACAACATTAACACGTTGTTGAGATTTATTATTGGTAAGTCCTCAAAAAAGGTTGGGTGCAGTTGGGGCTCTGAAAGGATTAACTTTCTAATATAATTAACGGCACACTTGCCGTGCTGACAACGCGCCTGCGAAACGTGGTCTCAAGTTTCTAAATTGTATGATCGCTGAGGTCCAGGATGCGGACATCTTTTACGACAGCATTAGCAAACTAATTTGTAAAAAGAATAGAAACTTTTGGTTATTACTGTAAGTTTACATTGTATTTTTATAAATAAATAATAAGATATAACGCATAATAACGCACACACTCAACATAGCCCCGCACTAGGGAAACCCTGTGTCGCGGGTGCCATGGACACACACATAGACAACTACAAATTACATCCAAACTCACGAGAGATATAATTGTAGGCCATACAACTATTTCTCTCGGCCCGGGAATCGAACCTGGGACCTCTGCGTGGTAGTCCGGCATGGTAACCGTTCGGCCACGGAGGCAGTTATATATGTATCGAGTTCTTAGGTTTTCGCGATTGTTACACATAGGAAATGAAACTATTTTCCGGATTTAAATCGCGTATATTTGTTTTTTCAAACAAACCGACGTTTCGGGCCGTTTACAGATCCAGGTAATAAGCTATAGTTTGTCTTTTTTGAAGACGGAGTTAAATGACAGCTGTAGAGTTGCCAGTTTCATAAAATTTTAAATAGTTATGTAGTTGTTGTCGATAGTTTTATCGATAGATTTCAAAAGAAGTAAAAATTTGCCAAAAATGACTTAATTGTGAATGTTACGAGGTTCTAATGATTACTGATTGCATTATTGTATTGTTTATTCCTATTTTGGTTGTTGGCGTACTAGTATCGAGATCAATGTTTATTCATACACATTTTAAAAAGAATAGCCGGAGTTTATTATCTACATTGAATTAGAATGAAGATCTTTAAAATATGTCTCCTCTTTGTGTTTTTCTTAAACATAGTTCTAAATACAGAGTATGTGTCTATGAAATTATAAAAATTGACAATTCAAATGAACTTGTGCTTAGTAATTGGATGAATAATGGGTCGAGGATGATTCAAATGAAACGAGTTCGGTTATTTATTCCATAAACATGACCAATATTCAGTCGATAGTCGATAGAATATTTATCGACTGCAATCACGAGCTGCCCACAAGCGGGCAACACTTTTGCGCAATGAATGTCATTTTACTCCGTATTCAAAAAAGACAGACTATACTGGAGTAATTTCATAAAAAAAATATATTGTTGCTCAATAAAATCAATATTTACTAATCTTCTTAATTATTGGGAGCAGGCAATAACAGTAAACACAGTACCACCATGATATTCTTTAGTTTTTTTTTAATTACTCCACTATAGCTTATTATTTATTTATAAAAATACAATGTAAACATACAGTAATAACCAAAACGCTTACATGTTAATTATTTATACTACTTACGTACATATTTGATACCCTCGGTTAGCTTTACAATTTAGTTTGGTAATGTTGTCGCATATTATAGTAGATACGCAGGATCGGAAGCTTCACATACTACAACACTGTCATATAACAATCAGACTTATAACTTTGTTTGTAATTCACAGGTGAAATTGTAATAAACCTATCCCGTTCAGTGGAACACAAGGAACGTCCATACATCATGTTGAGCATCACCAAGCTCTGTTTAGACGTGGCTTTAATGCAGTACGGGCCTGCGATACAGCTTAGCGTCAGTGGGGCCTTGTTAACGGACAAACAACATCACAGCAGTACTGGACAGTACCTTGAGATGCTGACCAGCGAAGGAGAGTTGTTCAACTTGCTTTATAGGAAGGTGAGTTTATGGCTATTGTTGAGTATAGTCCATTTCCACATCCAGAAATTGGTCCTGAGCGTAACACAATAGAGATCAAAAACATTTTTTGTGCCGCCATTTTGTCGTGTCACGGCGGGTGTAGTTCCAAGACTAACGGTAATATTGCGGTAGTTTCAAATTTGCTGCATCTAAGTGTTGGAATAATTTGCCTCCTCTAGAACTTGAAGTCGTCTTGTGCTATTAAAAAGAAATGCAAGCTTTGGTTACTTTCAAAGCAAGAATCGGAAAGTGATTGGATGTATGTAGCTCCATCGACTAGCGAATTTATATAATTTTTATTTGTTGTTATTATTTTTATCATAGTTTTTATTTATTTTTTTATTTATAATATTTTACTAATTAAATTTTTATTGAATTGATATTCAATAATTTTTTTGTGAAATTACTCCACTAGTTTGTTATAATTATTAATACAAAGATCGAACACTCAGAAAAAACACTCAGAAAAAATTCCTTCGATCCGGTCGGATTCGAACCGACGTCTTCTTGCATACCGTGCCAGACGTTATACCAACTAAGCCACGGAACGAACCAAAGGACCTCACGAATCTATTACAGATTTCTCATAGATGGCGCTACGACTAAAAAGTCGTTGAAAGACCAAGTACAAAGACACGACGCAAGCACATAGAAAAATTCGTGAGGTCCGTTGGTTCGTTCCGTGGCTTAGTTGGTATAGCGTCTGGCACGGTATGCAAGAAGACGTCGGTTCGAATCCGACCGGATCGAAGGAATTTATTCTGAGTGTTTTTTCTGAGTGTTCGATCTTTGTATTAATAATTATAATATTTTACTTTTCTTTATTTTTATATTGTGCTTCATTCCCATCTAAACTTCAAATTAAGATTATTATATAGAATATAATGGAATAATTCATGCGACTCGGGTGACCATGATGATCATAGATAAGTTTGAATTGTGTATGGTTTAGTAAACATTTCATTGGAGCTACTCGGGACGCGTCATACTATTACTAATATAAAATGTAACGACTATCATCAAAGAGGTAAATTCTGAAAAACAGATTTAGATTATATTATTTAAGGCGAAATAGTTATTTCAATGTAAGTAAATAAAGCTCTTTATTATTATTATTTATATGGACGACAATACACCACGACCGGTTGCGGGATTCGACCTGTCCTGCGCCCGCGCGTGGTCTGTTGCCGTCCTTATAAATATATGAAATTACACCCGCCGTGCTCCCGACGACATAATGGGAACGCGCCCTATTTAATCGTTTTTCAAATAAATTCAACAGCACACTGAAGGTTTCATTGTTTATTAAGAGGGAGCATGCCAAAAAAGTTTTGACGTTGGCTCCGCCCAAATTTGTGAAACACATATATGCCTGAAGTTCGCGTGTCATGCGACAGGAGATGTTGAATTTAGCGCATTAAAAGTACCAAATTCGTTTTAGCGGAATAACTCTAAAACTAAAGCGATTAAAAAAAAATCCGTAGTGACAGTTCTCGATTATGCATAAATATAATTAATTATCTAATTTTTGTCCTAATAACCTGTAGCATTTCGAGGATGAATCGAAAAAATGTGAAAATTAGAGGTCATTTCGTGATTTTTATGTATCGAGGAAACTTTATTGTTTTATGTTTCTGATTAGTGTCTATGCTTGAATATATCGTGTAGTTACTCATACAATATTTTATTTTTAACTTTAAAGTGGATATACCCCTCTAAAATCAAATCGAAGATTAGGAATTTTTCCTCTGCTCCCTCTTAACTAACGGTTATCATGCCGCTTAGGTGCGAGCGGACTGTCCCGAGTTCAAGTCCCACTTCCACAGCGTGGAGCAATCGCTGGTCGCCGACGCTGGGCCTGTATTACTCGTTCTCCATTCATCTGCACTCAATCAGCTGTATAAGTACCTGCAATATATTATTGAGAAGTAAGTTATGTTAAAAATATTTAGTAATGTTGATTTTGCATTTCATAGATTTCTCATAGATCGCTACGGCAAAAAAGTTAAATATGTATATAAAAAAGTACAGTAATTTCGCTAAATTAAATATCACAGTAGTCAAACATCACTCCGGGTGCGTATAATGAACGCCTAAGGTCCATGGCGAGCCTGCATTAATATAAGACAATACATTAATATAAAAAATTGGTAGGTGTACAATAATGTTGTGAATAAATAGATTGTTAGAGCCAGCGAGACGCGTGTGTCTTCGACGTCAATGCAACCCGCGTGCCTTTCTTCTTCTTCATCTTTTCGGAAAGCGTCTGTGAGCTCTTTGAAATTTCGAGAGTGGAAACAACAGTCTGAAAGGTCAATGACCTGGTTTTTAACTGCGTCTGTGGCCAAACGGTTACCATGTAGGTTTGTCACGCAGATTTTTTCATGCCTACATTTATTTCTCTCAAGAGTTTGGGTGTAATTTATGGTTGTCTTCGTGTGTGTCCATGGAACCCGCGACACAGGGTTTCCCTAGTGCGAGCCTTAATTATTATTTATTTAAACTAAGAAGAATTTTCGGTATTAGAGTAACTTACTCGGGGAAGCACAACGCACACTAAAACCAATTCAGATAAGTTAGTTTCCGATATTGAGCTCGGGAAATCTTCGTCTTTCGTCCTGAGAGCTAACCTTGTCCAAGAATGTCTATAAACTCAAAGTCGGTCACTTTCTTTTTTTTATATAATACCAGGTGATGAAACGAACTAATCGTGCACCTATTGGTAAGCGACACGCCTAGTCATAACATTTGCATGCCACAGTGGTTCAAATCCCAAAGGTCTGAGGAGTATTGCCACTACGTCCATCACCCTGAGATATAAGTTGACAAGTCTCGTGTGCAGTAATTTCACCAGCACAAGGAGTAATGCTACCATTTCTCCTTGGCGGCGGAAACAGGTAAGGTGGCAGTACTTCCCTGGACCAACTCTCTCACAAAGAGTTCTACTATATCTTTCTTATACAAGTACTAGTGTCTATAGTGAAAGATGAAGTCAAATAATTTATTCACCAAGACAATACAGTACAGTGCTTACAGGTAAGTCAAATTACAGAAAATACAGACTTAAATTATATACATACTGGTAAAGTCTTAACATTATGGTTTTTTAAGAAAATGAATATTCACTTAGATTTGAATCTATAAATTCGTTGATTTTATAAATAGCGTGATTTTCGAAGTAAAATTTTAATGTATGCTTGAATATAGGCATTTCCAAGTCAGATACATTCATTTTCATATTTACGCCCTATAGTCTATTTGTTTAGGTCATTGACTTACAATTATATGGACGTCGGGTCCGCGCTAAAAAGTGTCCGAACTTATAGGACGTTAAAATCGTATACAGAGCGTCATTCACGCTTTAGTCTTCGTTTGTTCGACTGACAGCGAAGCAAGCAAAATTAGACAGTACTGCGATGACATTACAATTTAAATTCAACGTTTTAGCTTTTTCATATTCCTTTACATGTCACTACGTTTAAATAGGTTGACTTGGGACATTTTTTTCGTGGTTTTTGCATTAGACCCGTCGTCCATTTATTTGTAAGTCAATGGTTTAGGTACTTAATTAAATGCAAACAATCTTGAGATGTGAGCTTCATATGAAATTGCGTGCCTATTTTTATACTTATTGATTTACGAAGCATATGTTTCAATAAAAAGATGTAAATGAACTATATACTATTTTGTCAACTTGTTATAAATAATCTTCATCTTCTAGAATCCAGAATCGTCACTCGTTAAACATAAGGAAGACACTGCTCCCCAAGACGCGAACGCTGTGGGAGTTCCTGATGAAGCCTGAGGCCGACCCGCCTGTGCCATCAGGAGCCACCAAGTTCAGCTATTCAGTCAGGTAACATTGGATTTTAACTGGTTTCAGAAAATAGTTTAAAAGAACGTAAAGTTGGATTATTCGTGTTGTGGTTGTGCGGTAACTGGAATAGTTACCTAACTCCTTGTATATTTGGATAAGTCGGTGTATTGAACATACGAAGGGCAAAAGCGCCATTTTAAAACAGAACGTTAATATTTTAAAACAGCCGTTAAAACTTAAAACATGCTCCATTGAATTTTTTTTGGTGTTTAGCTCTTTCTTCAAAACACAGACGATATCTAAATGTAAGACAGTTTAAATGTAAACCCGTAATTTGACAACCAAAGAAATTAAATGAAATATCCACCACAGCGCAGAAGAGATTAAAACAATCAATAGGATTTGTTCATCTAAAGTGATTAATTAAACATTTTTCCTATTCGCCCTCTCCACCAATACCGCTCGTGTTGCCATACTTTTCTACTCAAATTAAATCGAAAACTGATTAGGTGTTTTATAAATTGGTAATTTGCGATATTTGCAATAGCGGTACCAATTTTATTTTATTTTATTTTTCAGCTGATATATCTCACTGCAAGACAAAGCTTCCCTTTCCTTTCTCCACTCATCGTGTTTTGACGGCTCTAACTTGGCCTGTAGAGCACTTTATTTAAAAAAAAATATTGATAAATAGGCTGCCTCAGCTTCAGTAGTATCTATAATTTTCAAACAAAATTAGTTTGGTGGGTCGCTACCCGGTACCGGGCCATCAAAATAAAAAAAATACCGGGTCGCAACATTGCGGCTTGTTGAGGTGGAACCAGACCTCAGGTATCAAACTTTGTCATTTTCCGCGAACTTGGATTCTTTAGTGAAAAATAAGCAGCAGCTTCATACTTCGCACTAAACCGGCGATAACGAAATAATATTAGTAAAACAATTTTACTAACAATAAATGTGTATTATTTTACTTAATGTAACCAGCTTGGGTTTAAAAAAATCTGTGTTATAACTTTTTTTTTATCTTGGAGTTATATCTCTAGAGGACAGCTAATCCAGACCGACAGACAGACCGTAGCTCTGAAAAAGTTCCAAATTCCGTGTTATATATAGATGACGCTGGTCAATAACCTGGAAGTAGTTTGTATTATGTAATTAAGGTCTCGGATATCAATTAATTCCTTTTTATTATATGAAATATACATTTAAATATTGCTTATGAGCTCAAATTATCGTGTCAATAGATGGTATTGTATGTTACAAACCAATTTATAAATTAACGCTTTTAATACTGGTAGATGGCGCTAAACAACATAAAAGAACAGCCGGCGCTATCCATAACAATCTATGCAATAAGCGCCATTTAATGGTTTTGTTTGTAATCATTCGAAATTAGAAACAGAACAAAGCTACAACTTTGTTCTGTTGGCGTGCAGTTTTAAGATTGTCTCTGGTTTCTATAGCTAGGGGGTGAAGGGAAGCGAGGCTCGCGACAGTTTGCAGGGCTGCCATAGACTCGCTATATATTCCGAATGCACTCGCGCTGTTCTTAATTACTCTTCTCGACGCTTCGCATATCGCCAGCAGTTCAGCCTGATTTTCGACAAGCAAAGTTTGACGGGTTTGGGTTCCACCTTGCCATTCCAAATGGATAGCGCGCCGCCAACCTTACCGTCAATCTTGCTGCCGCTATTGACTATTTTAACCGCGAAGTTACTATTTGCATTGACTGATTCTTAGTCTATCAGGCTCACGAACTTTAGGTCGATATGCTCTGCGAGGTGGAGCGACGTGGAGGAGGCGAAGCTTGCATTACCGAGGCCATTTCCTCAGTCTCCCTGTCTCCCAGTTCGGGCCAGGGCACCCGCTTCTTGATTTCGTAGAGCGAAGCAGCTTCGCGTACTCGAAGATCAAGAGGGAGCACTCCGGCCAGAACCAGTGCTGAGTTAAGGGAGACTGTTCGATATGCTCGGCACATTTTTTGTGCAAATCCACGTTGGACAGCGCCAAGTTGTTTCCGGATCCCTATTTTACTTTCTGCTGGTGCCCATACGCTCGCTGCGTAAAGAATTATGCTGCCATGTATATGGTGCGAACAACCTCGGGGTGTAGTCCCCAACTTACTTTGGCCGCTCTCGTGAGTTGCTTGTATATGTTAATTGCTTTACGGCAGACGCTAGCTACGTTAAATGTCAGTTTTCATCAATTATGACTCCTAGTATTTTGATGTCCTTTGACATGCCAATGCCTATCCCGCCCATGCTCAGGCGTGGTATATCGAACTTGAGCTTTCGCATAATGACCATTGCGTCGGTCTTATGTGGAGCGAATTTAAGTTTATTCTCGACACCCCAATCCCGAACATGTTCGAGAGCCGTATTGGCACGTTCCTGGACATTACAGGCTGGTTCTCCATTGAACACTAGCACCACATCATCAGCAATGCCTGCACGTAATAACCTTTAGCCTCTAAGTGGTTTAAGAGTGGGTCGAGGAGCACATTCCAAAGTATCGGACCGCCTATAGAGTCTTGCACACAACCCTTAGTCGTTGTTTTGGTATGCTCCTCACCGCTATATCTAACGGTAACCTTTCTATTCTCCAAATATCTGTCGAGCACTCTCCTTATATTTAGAGGGCAGCAATTTTCGGCTAAATGTATTTTGATAGCGGGCTACCAGGCACTATCGAAAGCTCCCTCTATATCGAGTGACACAACGGTGATGAGCTTTTTCTCGCTAAGTTTTGCTCGGATGTGCTTTACCTAATTGTATAGGGAATCTTCCGTACTTTCTTGTGGCATGAACCTGTATTGGTTCAAGTTTAACCTGGGCAAGAGGATCTTGATGGGTTTGAGAGGGAGTGGTGGGAAATTGCCAAATGTAATGAAGGATTTTGAAGGAGACCTTTGCCCAGCAGTAGGATAATAGGTTAATTACAAAAATCATATTCTCTTAATGCAGCGTCACAGTCTGTTCCAATTGTATCAAGTGTTGATGTATCCAATTTTCGATGTCCCCATTAGGTATGAAAATGTGGTAGAATTATTTTTGAATTGTGGTTTAAATTATAACTTTTTATAAAAAAATAAACCAACTTCAAAAGGTTGTGGAATGTATTTGCCAAGTTTTATTGAAAACGGTTAACGGAAAGTGGTTGGAATCCAATAAGCCTGATTTATCTCCTAATTTCCTATCCTTAGAGGTGTAATGATTTCTTCAAATTTAAATGGGACCACTACTGAGGTACCTTCTTTCCAACAAAAAAGAATCATGAAAATCATATCAAATACACACAAAAAAATATAGTCGAAATGAAGCCTACTCGAAGAACTTCCTCCTTTTTTTTAAGTTGAGTCATAAAACAAATCATCCATAATTCACTTTGTTGCTTTCCAATCTGTTTTTTGGTGCTTGAATTTGGTTACTAACTTGTTCGCAGAGCATCCTCAATCTCAATACGGTTATGCCACCTTGACTGTCACCTGGTGGAGATTCGCCTAACAGCTCTAGAGAGCGACTGCGTGTTCCGAGCCAATGACCGCATGATCTTCAAGTTGTTCCTCAGCTCGTTGCACATGGACGACTTAGCTGAGACCACGCTTTATCCTAAGGTAAAGTAAGCTAGCATCTCGCTTTAGAACCATAAACAAATTGCTGACGAATTTCTTTCTAGAGCTGGTTTCTTGTTGTAAACGCCATTTTGTTTTGTCGGATTATAGGCTTGGGAGTCATGTGACTGGAGTGGTTTCTTCTTAACCTCTTTAGGAGTCGTATAAGATGCAATCGATTGGAAATATGACCTTTGCTTCTTCTCCTGTTTGAGATCAAATTCTCCAGTCGGTGAAGCTGCGGCTTAGCCTCTTTGTTGTAAGCTTTTACCGGTACCTCATTCAATTACGCCACGATTTCTTTTTTTTATAAAAATGTACGAGCACATGGTTGAGCTTGACCCTACGTAACACGCTTTTGCATTTCGTGGCCGCCATATTAAAAGCTTTCTTGAGATTCGGAGTACTCGGAGCTTTGCTCAGTCGAGCAATGGGCAACGGGCAGATCCCATCTTGGTACGTGGACTGTTTTTGTGCTTCAGCACGACTACAGTGAGCGTTAAACCATGGACGAGCTTGGTACATCAGAGTATGGTATGTAATACTCCGTACCCAAAACGGAAGACCTCGACATCAGCATAGCTCGACGAGTCTCCTGAAGTAAAGCAAATCTGCCATAGATGTGACGCAAAGAAATGGCGTATTTCATCCCAATCTGCTGACCATACAGGTCAGCAGATTGGGATGCCACACCCGTCTCATACCACTATATAGATACAGTTTTACAGTAACATCGTAGTTAGCGATCGCGTCAAATGTACATATACTACTTATTTCTCCTCGTGACCGTAAAGGTTAGCTGTTCAATTTGCTATACAAATTGTTCTATTGGTCTGTAGCGACAACATGTCCAACTTGTCCATTTGCTTATTATTTAGCTGTTAAAGCTTGCTCGATGTGCCTTGTGAAAAACAATATTTTTTTCCTATAATTGGAGTAAATTGCCAAAGTTCAACGTTAAATTGTCTGCTGAGAACAATCAAGAAGAACAAAATAAGAAACCGACGATGGAATTCTGATTCTAACTAAATACATTTGAAGTCGACTTTTTCAGCTATTGTTTGTTATTACTGCCTCCGTGATCGAACGGTTACTATGCTGGACCGCCACGAAGAGGTCCCGGATTCGATTCCCGGGCCGGGAGTAACATTTGTGTGGCCTACATTTATTTCTCTCGTGAGTTTGGGTGTAATTTGTGGTTGTCTATGTGTGTGTCCATGGCGCTTGCAATACAGGGTTTCCCTAGTGCGGGGCTATGAGTGTGCGTTATTATTACTAAGGATTATATTTAATATTCAGCTCGTGTGGCCGGACGAAGATAAGGTGCTGGAAGTGAAGTACGTGCGCGCCGCGCCGCGCTACTACGGCGCAGGCGCCGCCGGCGCTCCTGCGGCGCTGGCGCAGGTGACGCAGGTGAAGGCCAACGGGGAGCTACGCGTGCAGCTCGGCAGGCTCCATGTGGTGCTGTTCTACTGCGTCCTGCATCATTTACAGGTATAGAAGTACACATATACAGTAATAAGGAATATTTTCTAAAAAGTTTTTCAATTTACATTGGTTTACGTGTTAATAGAGCAAGATGTAAGTAAATATAAGTAGTAGAGCCACTTGTGAAAGAGTTCGTCCAGGGAAATACTGCCTCTTTACCTATTACTGCCGCCAAGCAGTAATGGAGCATTACTGCGTTCCGGTATTGATGAGTAAGGATGCTGGTGAAATTTCAGGCGCAATATACTTTGAAATTCGTATAGTAAAACATATTATTATATTTTTATTTTTATTATATGTGCTTTTTGTTGTTCTCAGTATTCGTTTTCCTTTGTTTGATGTTAATTCATGTTGTCAATTTGTCTTCTTAATTTTTTGATTGCAAGTGGTGTTTAATCTGTCACTGTTTCATACCTTAAATAAGTAAAACGCCAGATCTTGCACCTTCTCATAATAATCTCTTCAATGATTCGGCAGCAATTCCTGGAGCCACTGGTGCCGAGTGCAGTGGCGGCAGAGGCTGTCGCGGCAGCCGAGAAGGCCGCCGAACGACAAGCCGAAGGCATTAGGTCGTGGAATGCACGACTTAACCTTGTTATAGAGGTATTGGATGATTTATTTTCATGGAATATCACTAAAATGTTTTGTAAACAATACAGCAATATAGTGTTCACTTTAGACAGCCTTATCGTTGAATTTAAAGTGTAAGGGAGACATTTTGTAGAACTACAGTGAAACAAAAGTTTTTACTAAAGTGTAAAGTTTTTGTTTTGATAAAACTTTAAGTTGATGTTGTTTTGGACCTAATCCTTTGATAACTTGACTTTTGAGAACTTTACTAAGACAGGATATTAATCCGTTAAGTATTACATAAACGATAAGACAGTTTGGTTTTCAAAATTGTGTAAATGTACGTAATAAGTAATAATGATAATTTTGATTTTGAATCTGAACTATGATCTAAGCATTAGGAAACCTAAGGTTCAATTTACATTGCCGCAGAATGGGCGAAGAACATATATGTGCAAAATCGATACGCATATTTAGTTTGTATATAACAAAATTGACAGGTAAAGTCCACTATGCTATGTATAATTTCGTAAATTGACCCTAAGATAAGAAAATAAATCAGGTATCTTGTATTCTCCACAGTTACACGCCCCAGTGCTGTTGCTGCCACAAAAACCTTCGTCGCCTAACTTATTAGTTCTCAATATGGGTAAGTACGGTTACCACTAAGTTAAATAATGTCTTTAAACATTATTTTCTGATTTCTATTGAAATTACTTAATAAAATATCTACTTGTATCTACAGTCACGGACTTAGAGGATAAGTCTAAGGTCACGGCAGTATACATAAAAAAGTCATATGCGCCATTCAAATAACGGCGGCAGAAATTAGCAAGTTACATTCTATAACTTACAGTCGACTTATTTTCTGATTGCTAGGGCTATTTTACTCGATCATACTTGAAAAAATTCTTTTCAAGGGAATCTGCCTTACGAATGAGCGGTAGAGTATAATCATTTATTTCGTGTAATTGGCTTATGATATAAAGATGATTTCAATTTAAGTTTGTGTTTATACTGTAGTTTGTAAAACAAGTAATTAAGCCTAGTTTAACTATCTTTCTTTTCATACTAAGTATACGATATGTTTTTATTAGGTGATCTCCTAATCGAGAACTTCTTCAAGCAAATAAATCCACACGAGACCAGCAGTCCCATCCAGAGCCCCGTCATTGACAATGTTCTTGTTAAACTTGTCAATATTACTTTGTCGCGCGCTGTCATGACACTTGCTGGCACTTTGGAGGTCCAGGTAACTTTGGAGATATTGATATCAAGTGACGGGACATACAAATCATACCTCTGATGGTAAGGGACTTGCCCACAAGTGACAGTTGCACCATAGTATAATAAAACAAATATGGTAACTCCTTTTAAACGTATTCGTGCGGCTTGTATGTGTGCGCGCCTGCCGTGCGTCGTGCACGGACGCACACATTCGCATACAAGCCGTATTACTTTGTACGGAGTTACCATATTTCTTTTATTTTACTATGGTTGCAGAGGCTATAAACTTACAACACACCTCTTTTTGCGTCGGGGCTAATAATAATGTGATAAAAAGCAGGGAATCTACGTCAGTTTTCACTTTACACCTTATATTGTGTATTTGATATTTAGTAGAGCTTCTTGTGAAAAAGTTTCTACTACCGAGCGGTAACGTGAGATTTACTGCGTTCCGGGACTTGTCAATTCATGTCTCAGGATGTCGAGCGCAGTGGCGTCGCCTCTCATATCTTTGTGATTTAAAGCTCGGAGTGGCGCACGACATGTTCGTTCCGTCAGTTGGTATAAAAAAAAATATAATTGACAAATTGCTTCTGAACTTTAACTTACGCGATTACGTAAAGAATAGAAATGCGTCGTCATTTCAGATGCGTTTTTTTCTGTAACGAAATTAAAATAACATTCTCGTTTGATGAACTCCGTGGTCGAGTGGCTTGCCACCGGTTTTCATGGTGTCGCCATTTATTAGGTCAATGTAGAAATAGTAACTATTCTATTTGTCTCGGGTCTGAGTGTTTGTGGAACCGTCGGTTATTTCGATTTCCATAACACAAATGCTTTAATTAAGTTTTATTTATCAGGGTGTTTCACCACCATTATATTAAATTTTTTTCTGAGTGTTCGATCTTTGTATTAATAATTATAACAAACTCCACTAGTTTGTTATAATTATTAATACAAAGTAATTTCACAAAAAATAATTGAATATCATTGAGAAACATTCTGACATTCAATAAAACTTAATTACAATTATTAAATTTATATCTGTAGTCAGCAGCTGGTAGTTGTAGAGGTACCTGAATAAAGAAAAAACTTTCGTGAAACGGAACGTGGCTAAATTGGCATAGCATTTGCTGGGAGACGTTGGTTCAAAACCAACCGGATCAAAGTGATTTTTTTCTAAGTGTCGTTTCTAATTTTTGTTTAATAATTAATTTATAACAACTGCTTTAATTACTTTGACCTAATCCATTCCTAATCCATTGACCTAATATAATATTAACTGCCTCCGTGGTCGAACGGTTACCATGCCGGACTGCCACGCAGAGGTCCCAGGTTCGATTCCCTGGCCGGGAGAAATATTTGTATGGCCTACTATTTATTTCTCTCGTGAGTTTGGGTGTAATTTGTGGTTGTCTATGTGTGGCACTCGCGACACAGCGTTTCCCTAGGGCGGGGCTATGGTGAGTGTGAGCGTTATTAACAATATTGGGAACAGATTAACGTATGTAATGTTATCTAATATATATTCGTAGGAGCCAATCCTAGAGCCTGTTTGCCTCCGTTGTGACCTCAAACGCGCCGTCAGCTATAATCAAGTGGCCACACTCAGCGCCTACCGCGACTTGCTACTGTACGATGCCGACATCACCATGGACGCTGTCGTCATCAATTTAGGCCAGAAGGACCTCGCTACCGTACTGTGCGTCTATAGTGATAATTTAAGCGAAGCTCATTATATAGGTAAGTGGGTGACATAGTTATTAGCCCCCTTTACACAGTCAGTGTTTCGCGCGTGGTCAGGAGCGTACAGGATTGTGCGCGGGCAAGCCTGCACGCGCAATCGGGCGCAATTGCCTGTTTGAAGTTCTTTAAGGTAACGTTCTTTCGCGCCCGATTGCTCGTGTTCGTTTTTATTACAATGGAAGAGTGTCCGTGTAAAAGGCAACCTTGGAACGCGCAATTACCCGCGCGACTTTCTTTCTCTTTTCCTTCCAACTTTGCTGTATCACGTGGGATAAAGCGTATGTGTAAAGCTCTCTATTATCTCAAAAAAAAAACTTTCCATCAAATCTATATAAAAAGTATTTCAATCTAAATTAAGGTCGTCTAAATAAAACACGAAAGAAATGGCACATAGCCTTTGAAAGTTAATTGTTAAACCTTGAATTGTGCTATTTATCTTGCCGTACCGAAGCGCTATATAATTACTAACTACTTTGATGATGAAAACAATTGTGTAATATAGGGAGCATCGTCCCCAGTTCGCCTGAACCAGCACCATCATCAGATACATCGGTAAAGAAGTTGCAAGCGTTTTTCGCACAAGGCGAACCTATACGAAAGGAAATTGTTTTGCGGTCAGTATTTTATATCATCTCAGTAAATAAGTAAAAAATGGTAAACATGCAGTATTAAAAAATTATCAATATATTTATTTTCTTTGATAATTATTATGATAACTTATCCGATATAATATTCGATAATTCATTAATTTTCGACTAAAAATGACAAACAGTGACAAAACTAAATAAAAGCGAAGAACATTTTTCAGAAAAACGGTTCAAATTGTGATTTTTGAGATTGACAACAAACAAATGGCACGACATGGCCAGCGATAGCGTTTTGTTAATCCATTACATTTTATGATTATCAAAGATAATTATCAAGTTATAACCAATGATAATTTTCATAAGTATATATATTATCAATGATAATTATCACTTCGAACTTTGAAAACATCCAATGTACGGTGAAATGCGTGATATAATAAATCAATCTAAAACTTAATACTGCGTTACTGAAAGAATGTCAACTATCTTCGCTACTACAATACTTACATCCTGAGAACGATTACAGATTCAACCTGGAAGGCGTGGAACTAAAACTCTTCACGGACATGGATGAAGTGCTAAGTTCTCCCGTACGCGATCTGAACCATGGTTTGGCCAAGCTCACAGCAGGAGAAGCCACTTTCCAGCTGGACTACTACTCGGACAGCAGCACGGAGATGAAAGCTAGCCTTCAGAGTTTGCTCGTTGAGGATATCAGACCTGATCCTAGCATTGTTATCAAGAGGTACCTATAGCGTTGCTATGTCCATGAGTTTTGCCAAAATAGAGTCTCTATTTTGAGCATCTTGTAGTTTTCACGCTTGTGAAGTTTTATGACTAAAACCTGACCGATGGCTATTGATGGAATGAACCGTGCCTTCGGAAAATGATTTGGGTTATGTTAAATATTGTCAAGATGGAAGACAAAATGTGCAGTAAATCGCTTACACTTGGTGTGATATTTGCAAAATTACATCTTTTAAGAAGAGATGTTTACAGATTCTGCGAACGAAATTAGTGGATGTTTTTTATTCAAATTTAATTCACATTCAAATAAATGGTCGTCGTTGTCAATTAATTCCTACTTAATATGATATCAGTTTGACTACGAGCGTGCAGTGAGAAGAAGAGGGCTTGTTGTATGATGCACATATTTTGGCATTATAGCATTTGTCGTAATTGAAAATACAGTTTTAGTTTTAATGCGGGTTTATTGAAGCCAAGCAGTTGTACTAAAGGTTTGATGAATGTTAGTGAAGCAATGTAGGTTTGCCAGGATCCACAAGATGTGATTCTTTTATGGGAAACTGTATACGTTTTCACAGTAAGAATCCAGAGAATGAATTAAGATTATCATTTCCTAAGTTTAAAACTTACATTAAAAGTATTTTAATTGAAAAGTCAGTCACAATTTTGTAAAATTCTAGACTGCGAGTTAGATAAAGAAGTATGGAAAGACAACAAGAGTCTAGATTCCACACAATTATGATTCAAAGCGTCATAGCATTTAAGTTTATTTGAAAAGAGCAATCCCTAGAGTTACTCGCTCGTTCTTCTCACGGAAATCAGCGCAGCGAACGAGTAGTAGCTTAAAAAAATGACGTTTTCAAGCGTAACAATTTTTGCTATGGAATAAACGATTACTTGATTTTGAGTTTGTGTATGAGACAATGCGCCCCGGGACAGGATCTTCCAGTCGCAGGGCGGCGCCCTGCGGTCGGCGTCGGGCATCTCGGTGCGGCGGCCGCCGCTCATCGACCTGAGCGTGCGCGCCACGGGCGCGGGCACGGCCGGCGACGTGCGCGTCGACCGCACGCGCTGGAACCTGGCGCTGCCCTTCCTGCTGCAGCTGGCCAGGACCCTGCTGGACGCCATGCCAGGTCAGTCCGCTCCTCTGCTCTGCCCTGACAAGGGCCATCTTATCTTTGGTTTTTACACCCACCTCATCTGCCATTCTGGGTTGTTCTTTCGTGTTACCAAGTCACTGGAGGAACAAGTCGTTCTTCTGGTGATGAACGACGCGGCTGTCCATGATAATTGCAATGTTACCCAGTGCTTTAAATCGCAAAGATCTAAGTTGTTCCGAGTTACAAGTTGACAAATCCTATTTGCCTGCAAAACTTTGTACTCGGCGGCAGAAATAGGTACGATATCTCAATGAACAAACTCTTTCACAGGAAGTTCTACTGCTGGTGTCCTCAAATCCGGGGTCTACTCCCGTAGTATTATTTATTTGACAGTAGATAAATGTGTCGGACGGTGAACGAGAGACCCTCTGCCCTCAACTACACTGTTAAGGGATATCTGACGAACGAATTTCAGCGTTTTACTTTCCACTCTGCCACCCCCTTCACTATCTTTATACTTTTATATAATAATAATAATAATAATAATAACGCACACACTCAACATAGCCCCGCACTAGGGAAACCCTGTGTCGCGGGTGCCATGGACACACACATAGACAACCACAAATTACATCCAAACTCACGAGAGAAATAATTGTAGGCCATACAACTATTTCTACCGGCCCGGGAATCGAACCTGGGACCTCTGCGTGGCAGTCCGGCATGGTAACCGTTAGGCCACAGAGGCAGTTAAAGTTATCAACCCTTTGACTGCAATCAGACTGTGAAATTTCCTCCCTGAATCTATTCGACAATTCCCGTATCTCAATTCCTTCAAACAACGTGTCAAGTTTCGTCTTTCCTCAACTATCCTTTCATTGATTTCCTATTATTTTTAACCCAAGTCTAAATTATATAATCACTTGTCACTCTAGTTCGAGGAAGTCCACACTTGTAGTTGAATGACTTAAAATTTTTCACCAGGAGAGAAAGCAATGGACGGTGGTGTAGTAAATCACGGCTACGTAGGAGATTTAAACCCTTCAAAACCTGGAAACAACAACCGCTTTCCTAGCTCGAGCGACTCTACTAGCGGTTACTATTCTTCTAGTAAGTACAATGAGTACACACACTGGAAATTTTTAAGCATATAATGATACTTATAGCCTTTATGATGTTTTCCTTTACGTTACAACAAGCTGTAATAAACAATATGGGTTAAAAACGGATTCGGAATCTTGCATTTCATAATCCAAATATGTTCTGTTCATCCCAGCAACATCAATGCCCGAAGACAGTCCTGGCCTTTCCATCTCGATCCACTTCCGCCAGCCTGAGATCATGTTCTTCACGGACCTGACCAAGAGCGACGGTCATGCCCTGCTGGTGCGCACTGAGCTGCTGGTTGATTATTCTCATCATGCAGCTAGTGAGAGCCTGGTGGTTTCGCTGGCTGGATTACAGGTAAGCCAAATATATTAAAATTACGAAATAAACCCTTTAACCATCGTCAGAAGTACGATAGTTTTGCCATCTTAGAATTGTATGATACATGAGGACCAATGGGTTGATCTTAGTGATACACAAAGTAAAGAATTATCCCGCATATGGACAGCAACGTTCTCTTGCGTAGATAGGTCTTTATTTACGATTGCTACGCTAATAGACTTTTATCCTTTCCAATGTCGGGAAATTAAATCACGTGGTCAGCCGTGTTTCTGCCTTTTCTATATAATTTGTTATTTCACGGGATGAAACTGCCTTAGATGGAACAAACCATTCCAAGTTGCTATTAAATCATTGTTCACAGATAATGTCAAAACTACAATCAAATCTGAAGAATTTACCGCCGCAGCTAGTCTTAAAACCTTGCGACGTGGAATTCTCCAGAATATTCAAGAACGTCGAAGAAGGTGTCAGAGTGAATGTTTCCGTGTCCGAGATCGAAGTGCATATTGCTGCCACTACTGTGCATACTGTTATGGGTAAGTTTCCCTTGGTTAACAAATCTTTGGGCAGAAACTAAGAATAAGGGACAGAGCAAACCGGCGGACAGGAGGGCAGAGGACGTTAAATTTACCAATGTATATTTTATGCTATTCGAATTGACATAAGGTATAAATTGCAATGCTCTTAAGACCAACCTCGGAGCATCGCGGCGTATTTCTCTCTGCGTCTCAGAACATTGAAAATTATTCAGGTTCTTGCACTGTGCAATTTTATTATAAAATTTTATGATCACAAGAAGACCCAGGTCTTATGAATTCCCTAGGCTGAGACCACGCGATTTGCAAGATTCTCTGCATTTGTTTACTATTTGTGTTTATCTTGTGTTTCAGACTTAATAGAAGAAGTAAACTTCGAATTAACAGTCCCGGAAGAAGACAGACCTCAAAACACGGCTTTCTACAACTTCAAGCCAGAGAAACCAGACGAAGACCTTTGGTCCCCAAAAAAGCTGACTCCATACGTATTGATAAACCCTGAAGATAGCTACATACAGCCTTCGTATCCGACTGCAAAAGTTTCGGAGACTTTTGGCATGAAGTTGGCCAGCGTTCGTGTTTTGTTTGAACTAGAACATTCTGTTCGGGTGCCTGTTTTGGTAGTTAAGGTGAGTTTAACTTGGTTAAAATTTTTCCAAAGGTTAAAATTGATTCCATCACAATGTTGCTCTCTCTCTCTCTTTTTCTGTTCCTCACGTCATCTTTACACATTAGAGTACGAGTCTCGCTAAGGCTTTTTGCTTTATCCGAGTGAGGTGATTTATTTTGTAGAAAGTTGTTATTGGTTTTTGTTCTTGTGTGTTGGTAAACCTTTGCATTTTTGTTTAAATTTACGGACATGGGTAATTAGAGAATCAATTGAATGATCTTATTCTGACCTTTCGCGTCTGGTTCACTGTTATCATCTATTGTTCTTCACCAGCATCATCTAATATGTAACTTCCATATTTATACACACTATGTCCAAATAATTGAAAGCTGTCTGGTAAAAGGTTCACACATAAGACGATTAATAACAGGATTTGTGTTTTTTTTATTTTGTGTCTGATCATATGACCAGTTATGATTGTATTAAATGTTTTTATTAGTCTAATTTTTCAAGGGTCCCTTTGAATACGCATTACGTATTCTCTCATCATGTTGTCTACTGAATCAGGTCGGGGTTACCAAATGTAGCGGTCAGCACTTTATCATTTAGCAGAAATAACTGATTCGTTGGTTGTATTAAAACCATTTATACGGATCTTTTATTATCTTATTTCTTATTATCAAATCTAAATCGCTACTTCTACTATCCTGGTAACCGATCAGAAGTCCGAAACGTTTGTTCGAATTTACGTAATATCGAAAACAGATACATGGGGCGCACTATAAGTTTCCGGAACTGGCCACTTACATAAACAATATTTAAAAAGTAATTACCACATTTGAAAATGGAACTTTTTGACTGTAGAATACAGTTTGTATCATCCGACTGTCACTGTGAATATAATGTTGAAGGTAGTTAATTGTAGGTACGATCAGAGTTCATAAAATAAAAGGAGTCTGCATCCAACCACCGTCGTTTCATTACACATTACATGGCGCAGCCGGTAGGATATTAAAGTAGTAAAATTATATTATACGTGTGTGAATAACAATGGAAAGTGTTTTGTCTCCGCCGCAACCATTCAGTTATGATGGTAATTCAGTGGATTTATTATCAGGCAGTCTCAATGATATGTGGACAAAGTGGACGCGAAATTATGACATTTATACAAAGGCGTGTGAAATTATAAAAAAACCGGTAGATGTTCAATTTAACATATTTCTTCACGTAGTTGGTGAACAATGCCGAGAAATTTTGAACCAAGGCGGAGAAAACATTAAGACCGTGGAAGGTGCTTTAAAAAAATTGGATGATCATTTTAAGTGCAAGAAAAATGTAACAGTCGAGCGGCATAAATTTTTTTCAAGAGAACAGATAGAAGGTGAAACAATTGATCAGTACGTGTTCGAGTTGCGTAGATTATCTCAGTCCTGTGAGTTTAAAAATATGAATGAAGAATTAATAAAAGATAGATTGGTTTGCGGTGTAAACAGCGCGAACATTCGCGAACGATTGCTACGTGAGGAGGACTTGACTTTAAAAAAGGCATTAGAAATATGTCGGGCTGCAGTTGTATCCAGAATTTATTCGGAAAACATTAAAAAGGAAATGCAACCAGTATTTCAGGTACACAATCAGATTCAGGAAAGTGACGATGAAATTTACGCAATAAGGAGGTTCAATGGAGTAAAACGACGTGGGTATTTTCGTGTGGCGTCGTCGCAACGAGGCCGCGGCCGCGGTTCGTGGAGTGGTGCGCGTGTACATTCTGCGTTATACCCGCAAGGTGCCGGGTTCGGTGCCGACGGGAACCGTAGTACGTCGTCATATGAAAACAGACGATGCAATAGCTGTGGAGGTGTACATCAGAAAAATGATTGTCCCGCATATGGTAGAAAATGCATGCGGTGCTCGAAGATGAATCATTTTGCAAAAATGTGTAGGGTGTTCTTCGTGGATAATTCAAATGAACAGGTATCAAACATTAATTGTATAAATAGTTGGGATATAGATTTAATTATAAAAGGTCAAACTTTAAATTTTAAATTAGACACGGGTGCCGACGTTAATGTTTTACCTTTAAAGTATTTATTAAAAATTGGATTAAAAGAAACTGATTTATTGTCTACAAATACAAAATTAACTGCATACTCAGGGAATACAATTCAAGTTCTAGGAAAAATATACTTAAGAGTAAGTTATAAAAACAAAAACTATGTACTACAATTTAAAATTGCTGATGTTCAATCCATTCCCATTCTAGGTCGAGATGCATGCACAGAACTAGATGTGGTAAGGCGTGTGATGTCAATACAAAAAAGTGTGGTGAGTAACGAAGTTGTACCTACTTTTTTAGAACAATATAGTGATGTGTTTACTGGGTTAGGATGTTTACCCGGAAAATATACAATTAAATTAAGAGAAAATTCGGTTCCAGTCGTACACGCTCCCAGAAAGTTGCCATTTTCTATTAAAGATCAAGTAAAAAATAAGCTGTCGGAAATGGAATGTCAAGGAATAATTAGTAAAGTTGAAGGTCCGTCTGACTGGGTTAGTAGTATAACTGTTGTTAAAAAACCAAATGGGGACTTACGCATTTGTTTAGACCCTAAAGAATTAAATGAGAGTATAAAAAGAGAACATTTCAGAATTCCTACATTAGACGAAATTGTAGGTAAGCTTGCAGGTGCTAAGTACTTCAGTACACTAGATGCGTCTAATGGATTCTGGCAGGTATTGCTGGATGATTCTAGTTCATTGTGTACTTTTAATACACCATTTGGTAGATACAAATTTTTAAGAATGCCGTATGGTATTTGCTCTGCATCAGAGGTATTTCACAAAAAAATGTTTGAAAACTTTGACGATTTAGAGGGTGTTTGTATGTACATTGATGATTTACTGATTTTTGGGTCTTGTCAAAGCAGCCATGATAAAAACTTAATGAAAGTTTTAGAAAGATGTAGAAAAATTAATTTAAAATTAAATTTAAGTAAATGCAAGTTCGGTTTAAAAGAAATAAAGTACTTAGGTCATTTGATAACCAATAATGGCATTTATCCCGACAATTCTCATATATCTGCTATAACTAACATGCCAACACCGAAAGATAAAAAAGACGTAGAAAGATTGTTAGGCTTAGTCACGTATGTAGGGTCATTTATTCCTAGTCTTTCAGATAAAACGTTAGCTTTGCGAGAATTATTAAAGAAAGGTACCGAGTGGCAATGGTATGACAGGCAGGACAAATGCTTTTCGGAAATAAAAAAGCTTCTGTCAAGCCGTCCTGTACTGCAATATTTTGATATGAGAAAATCAATTGTACTGTCGGTAGATGCCAGTAAAACCGGTCTCGGTGCATGTTTATTGCAAGACAACCTACCAGTTTGTTACGCTTCAAAAACATTAAATAGCGCTGAACAAAAATACGCTCAAATCGAAAAAGAGCTTTATGCGGTGTTGTTTGCTTGTGAAAAATTTTATGTTTATATATATGGTAGATCAGACGTAGTGATTGAAACCGATCATAAGCCATTAATAAGTATAATGAAAAAACCGATTGTAGATTCACCCGCACGTTTGCAAAGAATGTTGTTACGGTTGCAGCGCTATACTTTTAAACTTGTTTATAAACCAGGTAAATATATGTACATCGCAGACACTTTGTCGCGAGCTCATGAGGCTGACGTTTCTACCACAAGCGCGCTGAGTCACGCTGCCGAGCACTCGTTCAGCTCAGTGCACGACGAGGTGTGTGAGGTGACGCGCGATATGATGGCACAAGCATCGCACCAATTTGATGATGTGCAACTTATAAGAATACAAAAATATACAGAAAAAGATGATGAGTTAAAATCGCTTAAACAATATATTATGAATGGGTGGCCCTCAGACAAAAATAAAATTATAAATGAGGTTAAACCGTATTGGAATTACAAGGAAAATTTAACAGAAACTTTTGGTATTGTTTGGAAGGATCAAAGAATAGTTATTCCTAAAATATTAAGAAAAGAAATTTTAAATAAACTTCATATAGGACATATGGGTTTAGAAAAATGTAAACTAAGGGCGAGAGAATCTGTTTTTTGGCCCGGGCTAAATAACGATTTACAAAACATGATTCACAATTGTGATATATGCTTATCGCACAGAAAAAATTGTCAGAAAGAAACATTACAGCCGCATGACATTCCAGATAGGCCATGGGCTAAAGTAGGGACTGACCTATTTCATTTTAAACATAAAAATTATCTTATATTAATTGACTATTATAGTAAGTTTTTTGAAGTAGTCGAATTACAAATAACTAGCTCCGATTACATAATTGGGTGCATGAAAGACATTTTTAGTCGCCAAGGAATTCCTTGTGTTGTTATGTCAGACTGCGGACCTCAATTTTCATCACATAATTTTAGACAATTTTCATCTGAATGGAATTTTACTCATATTACTTCCTCTCCCCACTACCCACAATCGAATGGGCAGGTTGAGCGTACAGTGCAAACGGTAAAAAATATCATGCGAAAGTCGAGTGAAAATAGGACAGATTATCGACTTGCTTTTTTGGAATATTTAAATACTCCTTTGGCAGACGACATTCCATCTCCCGCAGAATTGTTACAAAGTAGAAAGTTACGTAGCATTATACCTATGTCATTAGCTCATTTGAAACCTAAAATACAAAAATGTATCCGTAACAAAATTGTAAATCGTCAAATAAAGCAAAAAATGTACTATGACCGCAACGCAAAGGACTTGTGTTCCTTGCATGTGGGACAAAAAGTAAAAATTTTGCAAATGAATAATATTTGTAAGAGGCGTTGGTTAGCTGGAACCGTTACTCGTGTATTAAGAAATCGTTCCTATGAAGTACAATTAACGACGGGAGTTACAATCATCAGAAATCGTAGACACATCATTATAGATTCGCCACAAAGACAGGACACGCCTGACTACAATTTTGATCAAGATGATATAATGTTATCTGATAAAAATGTTAACACTAATATTGAACAAAATTCTTATGTTACTCGTTCTGGTAGGCTTGTGAGGCCGCCGGATAGATGGGGATATACCCATTAATGTAATATTGTTTTCCCTTAAGTTACATAATTGTTAAAATGCTTATAAGTTTTAAAGAACAAAGGTGTTATGTTGTCAATGTATTTAATTCATGTTAGTAATTTGAAACGTTTGCGTTTAATTAACAATATCCTGAGTTAATTGTTTATTCTATAAAAATAAGTACAGCATACATTATTTACTTCAAGTCAATGAGATTAGTAATTAGTGTAATTCATTGATGCAAATTACAAATACAAGGAAATTAAATATAAACCCTTATAATATCTAATGAAATGAATGTTTGAATACTTTCTTAACAATATGGTCTACTTATTTAATGTTATAGAATAATTTTTAAATTTAAAATTAATTTCTAAATTATATGTATAATTGTGTAATTTAGAAATAAGCAATTGCATGTATGAATTTTATTTTTTTTTATTGTTTTAAGGAGGATGATGTGAATATAATGTTGAAGGTAGTTAATTGTAGGTACGATCAGAGTTCATAAAATAAAAGGAGTCTGCATCCAACCACCGTCGTTTCATTACACATTACAGTCACTTGTTTTTACATTGTGGCGTCATTTTAGAAATTGGTTGTCGACCAGCACCAACAGCTCAGCGGAGCTTCGCTCGGCTTCAAACTACTTTTGACGATGAAGCACCATGCAAGACGATTATTTATAGCTGGTTTGCAGAATTCAAACGCGGTCGTGTGAATCTCAGTGACGAATTTCGTGATGGTCGCCCGTCCACAGCTGTGAACAACAAAAACATCGATGATCGATGACATACATCTTTAGGCATAGGCATGAGTCAAATACAAGCAATACTACACAAATATATAGGTGTGAAAAAGCTGTTCTCTCGGTGGATCCCACATAATTTCACTGAGGCTCAAAAAACGGATCACGTCACTTGGTGCAATGCCATGCTTACCAGATTCAAAGAAGGGGCATCAAATTTGGTGTGGGACATAGTAACAGGTGACGAAACATGGATTTATAGTTACGATCCCAAAACAAAGCAAATCGAGCGTATGGGTCTTTCGAAATAGCCGAAACCAACCAAAGTGGCGCGCGAGCAAAGTGGCTATTGTTGCTTTGGAGAATCATTGTACCGTGAGTAGTGAATGGTGCACGACAGATTTGTTTGACGGGAGTTATTGAGAAACTCCGTAAAAATAACCGTAAACGCCGTATCATCTTGCACCACGGTAATGCCAGTTCTCACACGGCCAGACAGATAAATGAATTTTCGAAGGTGAATAACGTTGACCTTATGAGCCATCCCGCGTACAGTTCCGACCTGGCACCTTGTGACTTTTATTTATTTTTAAAAATTAAGAACCAGTTACACGGTCAACAATTTTCATCACCTGAAGAGGCGGTTGAAGAGTATGAAAAATATGTTTCAGAGATTGTCACGGAGGAGCGGCATAAATGTTTTCAAAATTGGTTCATTCGTATGAAAAAGTGCATTAACGCTAACGGAGAATATTTTGAGAAACAATAAATTCATTTTTGACCGACCATTTATAGTATTTTTTTCTTATTCATTCCGGAAACTCATAGTGCGCCCCACGTATGTATATTGAAACTGTGCAGGGAATTTTCGACGCTTATAGCAAATAATGACTAGAGGGTACGTTTGTTTTATAATAAAAAAAAACTTTCCACGGAAAATTACTTTCGGGATTATCAAAGTTCTACTAAACGTAATTTCGGTGAAATGTAACCTCCGTCTTCTGCTAGGTGCCATATTTCCTACTACAATTTATACCCTGAGAACATTCTCGCCCATTACAGATGGCGACCGAAGTAACCCTCCACGACTGGTCCCGGCAGCTGCACGGGTCGGCCAGCTTGTCCGTGCAGGCGGCGTGCTACAACGAGCGCCTGGCCGCCTGGGAGCCGCTCATCGAGCCCACTGTGATCGAAGAGAACCTGCACAGGCCGTGGCATTTAACAGCCACCTTATTTCAGGTCAATACGGAACATTATTATTATTAGTTTTTCGCCTTTCCCACGGCCTAAAAGATTAATTTTTATCCGACTGCAAAAAAGAAGGAGTTCCCAAGTCGACTGTATTTTTTTGTATGTATGTTATGCTTACTTTTCAGTATTGGTCCCATTTAAATTTGAAGAAAATACTGGAAATTTTCCGGATTTAAATCGCGTATATTTGTTTTTTCAAACAAGTTTGTGATCCAGTATTTGCTTTGATGAAAAATCCCAAACAGACATAGATCACCGATAATAATTATACTGCAGAAATAAATAAATAAATAAATAATTCATTTGCTTATCTCGCTCTACAGACGATAGTTATATTGTATAAAATTGTAAGAGGGTATCTGTTATAATAACCATAGGATACTAGGATAGTTTGATAATACAAATAACCTCCTAATTTTATACTGCACTTTAAAAAGCTTTTCTCCTCAGGCCAAAGCCTACCCGATGTCGTCCCGTCTGGACACGACGCAACACGACACAGAGTCGGACGGCATAATGACAGATTCAAAAAAACAGCGCAAGCGCAGCGAGTTCGAGTCTGAGACCTCTGCAGACGAGTGCGATACCGATAATGAGATGACGTTTATTAAGGTATGTATATTATTCCAAAACAATATTTCACCATTATATTAAACAGATGAGACTTCTTTTAAGACTGCACCGAGGCAGCGGTCGGAATTGCGTACGTTTGATCTCTTGCTATATCGTATTACCTACTAAGTAATTAATAAGTTTTAATTATGAGATTAATGTATAAGATATTTAAAGATTCACTCTATAAATCATACACATTAGAAACACCTGTAGTTTCCTCGATAGAAATAAAATCCGATGTTTTCTCGTAAAAATAAAATAAACCCTTAGTACGGCGTAAAAAACTCACGGAAGGTCAGTAGTTTTTGGAAAATAACAAAACTATACAAAATATATGTTTTTTATAACGTATACACTGTACATTTTCAAAATGTGTAGTTGTTTTAATAATACGAAGGAAATACCTAAATTCGCACGCGGTTCAACCACACCTATTAGCCAGAACCGCCACGCTTCCCCCTGTCAGCTTTAGTAGGGGTGTTCCGATACCACGAAAGTATCGATACTTATTCAAACGAGTACTAATAATCAATTCGTCATACGATGCTAATCATATGAGTACTTCAAAAGTGTCGATCTTATTCATATCGATACTTTTTTAGGAGATGTAAAATATGTCCATAATGAACTTTAACAAGCACGCACTACACAATTCAATAAATAAACGTTATTTTCTTTTTTAAAGTATTATAGTTAAATCGATACAATCGATAATTCCGCTAATCGATCGAGATTTGAATAATCGATTATTACTGCGAAATTTATTCATTTATTTATTTATTTATTTCAGACACAATAACAGTTCACAAACCATGTAAGAAACTTGATACAAATTTAAATATAGAACACTTGTTAGCTTGGAACCAATAACAATTGTGCACAACACTTAATTGACTTTAGTTTGCATTTAAAAACTATTAAAAACAAAAAATATAATCATTAAAAAGAAAAATTTTTTTAATTACAATAATTAAACAAACAATTTATAACTATCCTATATATATTTTATAACTGGAAATTTGAAAAAATCATATTTGAAGAGAAAAACATATCTAAACAAAACCAATAAATCTTATTTACAATACTTTATTTTTGACCTAGCTGTGAGACCTCAGAGACACTATAAACGATTCCATCGACTGGTGGAATATGTCTACCTCAGTGCTAACCATATTGTAGTTCCTACACATACGAAGCAAAGGATCATTGTAAGACACATTGTATGTTGTTAAGGGTACATAAAAAAGTTTTTGAGTGCGGCACTTTCCAATCATAAGCCTAACTTCCTCAAGCAATTCACTAGTATCCCACTCCGAATTAACTATTTTGTACAATATGGCAAAGCTATGCGAAAACCGTCTACTTTGTAGGGTGTCCATTTTAAAATGTCTCAATCTATCTTCATAGGACGGAAGCTTAAGGAAATTATCGTAATAACACTTAAACTAAACATTAATTTATATAAAAACTGTAATACAAAAACCCACAAAAGTATACCCCATTGGTGGTGCGAAATTAAGATCTATAATATCGATAAGTAGTGGACTGTATTTTTTGCGATTTTTGTTAATTACGTTAAAAGGTACTAGTAGTACGAGTAACTGCACTTGCAAGTAGTTTCCTATAAGGACTGGAACAAGTATATAGTAGTAGGTCGAAGTACAGGAAAAATGATGGGAACATGCGCACTCACCTTTTCATTCGTTGCGCTGGCAGCAATTCCGCATGGATACGGCCGCCACAGGAGGAAAAATCCTCAGGTTCACTACTGAGCACAGTACAGTGTATTGCGAACAAAATAAACTATTAAAAACCACAATCGCGCTAGTTAGCCATTTTTATGATGCACACAGTTCAGTGTCATAGGTTAGACTATCGTCTTATTTTTGTTGCCAACTCATTGGCCGGTGAAAGAGACGACAGCAGCAAAAGTGTGCATGTTGGAGGAGGATGGAGGATACAAAGGAAGGAAGTCCTCGCAAGTGCTAAGATCTACCCTATACTATTTTTTAAGATAAACATTGACGTATCTTGTCGCCCTGGAGGCGATTTTCGAACCAAAACGTATGATGTCCATTTAGACCATTCATCCAAAAATGATCTAAAGGGACCATGAATAGACACACATTTTTTACTTCGCGGTTTGCGTTTGTTTGCTGCAAAACGGTAAAAATGGAAAGGAAAAATAATTTGGAAAAAGGTGATCTTTTCCTGGGAAATGGGAGTAAGGTTAAATATTTACGCTTTTCAATTCGATACCAGTATTTTTCTTCAGACATCCAGTTAAAATCGAAAGAAGGGATTCTATACTAAAAGTAGTCGGTATCGATATATGTATATACTATACAAAAGTATCGAGTACTTATTTGTATTTACTTGTACCGAATCGTCCCTAAGCTTTAGTCCTGCTTCGGCCTTCGGTCATGGAGGTTATGTCGCTTGGGTTTTTGCCACACTCACATATACATGGAGCGCATAGAATACCTAAAATCAATTAGCGCCAGAAGCTGGGTGCCTTAACGTTAAAGCTTAACGTTACATCAAATTACCTATGTGTTTGCTTTGCCAGAATCCACATGGACGCGACAACAAAAGCGTGGACTACACAGGCAACATGTCTTTCTTAAGCGTGATGGACGTCGACGAGTCGGATTCCGAGAACGAGAACGGCTTGATGGACAAGCTCGCTACTGCAATTGGACATTTGTTCACTGAGTGAGTTTCTTTTATAATACCAATCGGCACTGCCACTTCCCCCTGTCATCCTGAGAAATCAGTTGAAAAGTCCCGTGAGCAATTTCACCAACATCACAATCACAAGGTAAGGACCTTTTGAGACTGAAACGCAGTGGTACTCATTCATTACTGGTTGATCGCAGTACTTCTCTGGACGAACCCTTTCACAGCTCTATTGCTACTGTTATTTTGCTTAGCCACAGTCTGCTGTATTAGCCCAATGCGGGTTTGGAACTACATACGTATCCAAGGGTTGTGAACCTTCTTCGACGTGCAGGTGTCATCACGACGTTTTCCACCTTACCTATTTCTGCCACCAAGCAGTAATGTCAACATTACTGTGTTCCGATTTTGAAGGGTAAGGGTGCTGGTGAAATTACAGACACATGGGGCTTGTCAACTTATGTCTCAGGGTGATGAGCGCAGTGGCAGTGCCCCAAAGATCTTTGCGATTTAAAGCTCTGAGTGACACAGCAACTGTTACGGACAGGTGTGTAGCTTACCATCGGTTGCACGACTAAAAAAAATAATAATAACGTACAAAATAAAAGTATTAAGTAATTGGTCATTGACTTACAATTATATGGACGTCGGGTCCGCGCTAAAAAGTGTCCGAACTTATAGGGCGTTAAAATCGCATACAGAGCGTCATTCACGCTTTAGTCTTCGTTTGTTCGACTGACAGCGAAGCAAGCAAAATGAGACAGTACTGCGATGACATTACAATTTAAATTCAACGTTTTAGCTTTTTCATATTCCTTTACATGTCACTACGTTTAAATAGGTTGACTTGGGACATTTTTTTCGTGGTTTTTATATTAGACCCGTCGTCCATTTATTTGTAAGTCAATGTAATTGGTACATACATAAGTACTGCATAAGTGGATATATTGGAGATAGATAGTGTGTGCTCGAGCAAATACAGAGGCGTTAAGGGTCAACTGCCTGTCAAAATTGATTGAAAACAATCAAAATGGCCGATTCCAAATGGCGGCAAAATGGTATTCCAATTTTGTTATGTACATATGGCGTAAAGTATGTATATCCATTGTCATATCAAACGGAATTTTGTCATATCTTAGGATTTTTATATTTTGTCAGTTTATCAAAACTTCGCACCCTAGGTGTAATAAGGCTACTTCTCCAAAATTACAACTTTGCAGGAGAGAGGTTTAAAGATTATACGAACACAATTAGTCTATAACTTTTTTATGCTTAAATGGGAGAGTTATAAAATTTCACATATTAATTTGTTTCATGTTAGGGCGCGTTCCCATTATGCCGTGACGACAGATAATCGCGTGCAGTTTAAAGTGTCATGGTGAAGTTGTTCACATATAGTACAACACGATTAACTGACGTTCGTAACTTTTTTGACGTCACGACGAGAGACTGTCGTGATAATGGGACTTCCATTGTCTAGAACGACAGTCGTCAGACGATAAATAAAACGTCACGATAAAAATGAGACGACAGATAATCGCAGCTTCAAACGACAACGCGGCTGCCGTGAACCGATAAATTGTCGTCACGATGTACTGGGATCAGCTATTTGCGACAGTCGTTCTCCGATAAATAAAACATTGCGACTTAGTGGGAACGCGCCCTAATTCGTATTATTTTTATAACTTTCATTTGATAAAAGCATTTTTGATGTATGGTCACATGTGGCCTCACTTTACTATTGTTTTATTATTGAGAAAGCGATACGGCCTTACGCGTTACTTGTGTCAACAGTGACTCAAGCGCCGAAGAGCTGAGTAACGACGAGGACTCATCAGCACCAGAACAAAGCGAGGTGGAGTGCGAGAGTGGTAAAGAGGAAACTGATAAGGCAGTCACGTTTGTTGACGGCGGCTGTAGTGGTGGGGAAACGGTCAAGCCTAAATTGGAACATAAGACTGTTACTTTGCAGGTTAGTTACAAATTATTCAGCAAATAGAAAGAAAGAAAGAATCATTTAGTCGGCTATTCACAAATAATATTACGAACATTATGGCATTACAAGTAGATACTTCACATGGCATTACAACTAGATACAAGATCTGTTAAAAACCACTAGAAAATAGTTGATTAAGAACTAAAGTATACGGTATTAGCGGAAAAGATTAGCCAGCTCAGTTTTATGCTTGGCAGAGCTTCAGCGCTGGTTTTCAGCTGGAGCCTCAGAGGATGAGGATCATTTGTATATTAAATATTTAAAGACAAAAGTAAAATAAAATAAAATTGCATCACATTTTACAAGACAACAAAATGGGTTAGGGGTGGGTTAACTCCCCCCATATTAAAATTAATTACGTCGTTGCAATTGATTTTAATTGCAATTGATTTCAATTGAACTGATTTTTTAGTCTGATTGAAATTTAATTGATTCAAATTCAAAATAATCTTTATTTCATAGGTAAGCATTATTACACTTGAAATCGTCACAATATTAAACTCTACCGCTCATTCGTAAGGCAGATTCCCCTGAGAAGAATGAGCAAGAAACTCTAGGGGTTGCTCTTTGTAAATAACATTTACAATATTTTTTTTTTATTATTTGAAACATCAGAGATCGAGACTACCTCCATGAGCTAAACGGGTTACTACCACGGATTTTTGTCATCCAAGTACGCAGAAGTTGTATAATAACCTTTAGTATAAAGTTTTTGTTTCACTATAGTTTTAAACCTCGTAAGGCAAATTTTGTATATCAACCGGAATCTTGTTATAGAAGCGTATACATTGCCCCTTAAATGATTTTTTGACTTTGTGAAGACGACTATCAAGAAAAGCTAGTTTATTTCTATTCCTCGTATTAATGTTATGTCTGTCACTATTTTTCATAAATAAATTACTATTCCTTTTAACATAAATTACATTCTCATAAATGTACTGTGAGGCTAGTGTAAGAATGTTAATTTCCTTAAATTATGTGTATAATATATTATTATTCTATATATTATTGACGCCCAATACTTTGTGCTCTTAATAAAGCTATAAATTACAATATGAAAAATAAATGTTCATAATAACAATGTCTGAGTAATTGTAATAACTACTAAATGATAGAAAAAAAATAGACGGAAGCCAATTTTTTTTTAAGGAAGCTCGATACATAAAAATGCATAAATTCACATAATTTTTTCATAGGACCCGGTCCATGAGGACAGTGTAGATTCTGGCTTGGAAACTGAAAGCTTCACGGAGCGAATGTGCACATACGTGATGGTAGAATCAAGAGATTGTCTCAACATCACTGTGACACCAGCAGCTGCGCGCGTTTTGCTATCCCTAGCCAACTCTTGTACAGACAGAACCGCAGTAGTAACGGCGATTGTCACGGGCGACTCTCCATTGCAACTTGTGAATGACATAGGTAAGGTCTACGTGGAATACGCGCAAAAAAGCTATCGCGCATTTAAGCTTTCGCGCAACCGTCTTCGCACTATCATCATTCGTGTAATCGGCATTCGCATTCACGTAGTACACCAGAGCGAAACACACAACTTTTCACCTCACTATAGCGAAGAAAATGGTGAAAGAAAAACAGTTGAACTGTAATAAAATAATTTAATAAACAAAATTAGTTATTGTTGTCAATTTAATGTCAACAATAATAAGAATAAAATATACCAACGGATTTATGTTACATAAAAATAATGTACGAGAAATCGCGTAGTTGAATGTGTTGTTACGTTTTTTTCCATCGAAACAAAAAGTTAGGTGTACCACAGTCCGTTCTTTTTGTTTTTTGGAAAAAACGCCGATGCGCGCAGGTTTCTAATGAGAAAGAAAGCCTTGCCGCGCTAGTGAGGTGAAAAAGTTTTTTATGATTAGCACGGTAAGCTAGAAGACGTCGGTTCGAATCCGGCCGGATCGAAGGAATTTTTTCTGAGTGTTCGATCTTTGTATAAATAAATTTAATAATTAATAATGAAATTTTTATTGAATTGATATTCAATTATTTTTTGTGAAATTACTCCACTAGTTTGTTATAATTATTAATACAAAGATCGAACACTCAGAAAAAATTCCTTCGATCCGGCCGGATTCGAACCGACGTCTTCTAGCATACCGTGCCGGACACTATACCGACTAAGCCACGGAACGAAACAGCGGACCTCACGAATTTTTCTATGTCCTTGCGTCGTGTCTTTGTACTTGGTCTTTCAACGACTTTTTAGTCGTAGCGCCTATTTATTTATTTAACTATTAATAATTAATAGTTAAATAAATAAATAGGAGAATTAGAAAATTCATGTAGATCGTTTGTCTCGTATAGTTGGTATTATTTTTATGAATTTAATGTTATAGAAACATTTCTGCCTTGTGATCACATGTGTCTTTCTTATACCAAGTATGCGATTTGATTGATTATCTTTTTCAAAGGTCCTGGTAGTACAGTGCACCTGAAGACTCGTGCGGAGACAGACTTAGCTGGTAATGATAGAGTCGTTGCTATTGCCGACTATGATGTTGACACCAGCCGGCCCAGTACACCAGGTAAGCGATATCGTTACTTTGGCTACTGTAAACCCTGGGCCCATAACCAAAACAATAAATGAAACAAATCTTAATCTTTGAACTCTGCCCTGCTTGTCATAACTAATACATTAGCACAAACTGCCTCCGTGGCCGAACGGTTACCATGCCGGACTGCCACGCAGAGGTCCCAGGTTCGATTCCCGGGCCGAGAGAAATAGTTGTATGGCCTACAATTATTTCTCTCGTGAGTTTGGGTGTAATTTGTTGTTGTCAATGTGTGTGTCCATGGCACCCGCGACACAGGGTTTCCCTAGTGCGGGGCTATGTTGAGTGTGTGCGTTATTATTATATTATTATTATGTCGGTAACTTTCGATATAATGGCACCTAAACCCTTATTGTCACCTAAAAAAAAAGGTCAATTACACAGACTTAACAATAACACTGAAACTAGTTAAGATAATAAAAGACCGATTAGATGGGATTGCAGATATTGTTTCGCTGATCCTAGACATGTTAATAACTCAATTTAAAAAAAATTTAGATTACGTTACTTAGGATAAGGATGGCAGTGTAAGTTTTATTCACTTTTACCTAACTGTAACAAAAAAACGCCATCTTAAATAATCATTGACTTACAATTATATGGACGTCGGGTCCGCGCTAAAAAGTGTCCGAACTTATAGGGCGTTAAAATCGTATATTTATCCCGTGCGGTGACGGATTAGAATACAATTCACCGCCCCTCTCTTCCCGTGGGTGTCGTAAGAGGCGACTAAGGGATATTGAGCAACCAGCTGCTCCACTGGTGGTAGGGCTTGAAAACCCGCCTGGTTAGTGACCACCGTGCGCATGATGGAAAACCCGCCAAGTGTTCGCTAGTCGGATGCGTTCCGGGATCAGTCAGCGTACAACCAGAGCCCGAGGCAACGCTGCCGCGACATTTGTGGACTGTGGAGGCTTCCGCCGAACCAGTGCCAGGACAACTGCATTGACCCGCCGGCCAGGGAGACCCGTAGAAACGGTTGTTCCGCTGGCCGCCCGCGGTACAGTACAGGGGCCCAAGCGTGCTTAACCAGCTCGTGAGGCTGCCTCACCATGCCGCGCATAATCTCGGTGTGGTTCGTCGTGCCGGTTGGTGACCGGGAGGTGGGGTCCCGGCGGCCATTCCCGGGGGGGTTCGGGGGCCCTTCCGTCCGGCGGATCAGCGCAACTTGTCTGTAGGCAAGTCTCTGGGGAAGCAGGCCCCGCGATTTGACCGCTTGTGTCGCGGCACTGTTTTCTCGCTTCACGCCTCTTTTTCCCTCCAACATGTTAGCGCAAAGTACAAATTTCGGTCGTACAGCGGTGCACACCCCCACCACTAAAGCGCTCTTTAAGGTGGAGTTCACGAACATTCGAGGACTCCACAGTAACATCCACGCCGTCCACCAACATCTTGAGACGGCTCGACCAGAAATGCTGTTCCTTACGGAGACGCAAATACTCTGCCCGGCTGACAGCAGCTACTTGAATTACCCTGGCTATATGCTTGAAGAGTCCTTCAAAGCGAAAGCTGGGGTCTGCTTGTTTGTCCGGGCAGATGTTTGCTGTCGCCGTCTGCGTCATTTGGAGGACCCCTCCTTCTCCATCCTTGGGGTACATGTTGACCTGGGCAGTCATTGCCGTGTCTACATGTGCCTCTACAGATCCCACCACGGCGACATGGAGACAACTCGACTCATAGACCACCTTACTCGGGCGGCAGATGACGCGCAGGCGCAGTTTCCTACAGCGGAATTGGTGTTTTTAGGGGACTTCAATGCTCACCACGAGTCGTGGTTAAGTTCCTCTAAAACTGACCATGCTGGAAGAACTGCCCACACATTCGCTCTCACACACGATCTAACCCAACTGGTAAACCAGCCCACCCGGATTCCAGATAGGGTTGGTGACGCGCCCTCTTTGTTGGACCTTCTGCTGACGTCTCGCCCGGCTGGATATCGGGTGGAGGTCCAAGCCCCTCTGGGTACTTCGGATCACTGCTTGATATCCACTAAAGTGGCAACGTTACTGCCACCACCACCTACTGTGGCTAAACGCCGCATTTGGCATTATGCGTCGGCAGATTGGGACGGTATGCGGGACTATTTTGCATCCGTTCCCTGGCGGCAGCGCTGTTTTAGTGAGGTGGATCCAACAGCTAGCGCGACTGCCGTTGCTGATGAGATCTTAATCGGGATGGAATACTACATCCCGCATTCGGATCTCGTCAGTAAAGGGAGGCGCAACCGCTGGTTCAACCGCGAGTGTGCTGTGGCTGTTGAGAACAAACAGACTGCATACCGCGCTTGGATCAGGGGTCTAGCTTCAGACGATCCCAATACGAACTCACTTAAAACAGCCTACAATAATGCCACCAGGTCTTGCAAAAGAGCGTACATCAGAGCGGATGCTCAGCGCGTCGCACGAGTTGGCCAAGAACTCCTGACGCATCCCACTGGTAGTCGTAGCTACTGGCGTCTGGCCAGAGCCGTTGCGTCGAACTTCTGCCAGCCCTCGCTGCCACCGCTGAGATATTCTGACGGCAATCTAGCCCACAAGCCGCAAGATAAAGCCGACCTCTTGGCAAATCTGTTTGCGGCTAACTCCTGTCTCGACGACTGTAACGCACAGCCACCAACTCTACCTCACTGTGGCTACACGATGTCTGATATTCGTATCAGACAATGCGATGTGCGTACGCAGCTGCAGTCTCTCGACGTCCGGAAAGCTAGTGGTCCTGATGGTATCCCAGCGATTGTACTTAGGAACTGCGCAGCTGAGTTGACCCCCGTGCTAACGCGACTGTATCGTCTGTCGCTCTCTTCAGGTCGTGTGCCGGACTCTTGGAGAGAGGCTAATGTGCAACCAGTTCCCAAAAAAGGCGACCGATCAGACCCGCATAATTACCGTCCCATAGCCATTACTTCCATAATATGCAAGGTTTTAGAGCGGATCCTTAACAAACAACTGACCCAATACCTAGAAGATCACTCCATAATTAATGATCGGCAGTATGGGTTTCGTCCGAAACGATCAACGGGTGACCTTCTAGCGTACTTATCGCATATTTGGGGTGAGGCTATAGACAAACGTGGCGAGTCGTTGGCTGTTAGCCTCGATATAGCCAAAGCGTTCGATCGGGTCTGGCACAAAGCTCTTCTCTCCAAGCTCCCGGCGTACGGTTTGCCAGCCCAGTTATGCAGCTGGATTGCCGATTTCCTTCGTGAGCGGAGAATTCGCGTCGTTTCTGACGGCAGCATTTCGAGGTTCGTGAATGTGAACGCCGGCGTACCGCAGGGATCCGTCCTATCTCCCACGCTTTTCCTTCTGCATATCAATGATATGCTTCCACTTGGGAATATTCATTGTTATGCAGATGATAGCACTGTTCATGGGGGATATCATGGATTCCCCGCAGCTGGGCGCGCCGATACTGACAGAGAGCGATCTGATCTTGTCGTTGAGCTCAATAGAATATTGGACCTTATCTCTGCATGGGGATCCAGTAATCTTGTTGAGTTCAACGCCAAGAAAACACAGGTTTGCGCGTTAACAACAAAATTGTCGCCGTTCCTTCCCATGCCTTCTCTGATGAGCACAGCACTTTCACCTCAGAGCAGTTTTACCTTGCTCGGTATGGAAATCTGCTGTGATTTGAATCCAAGGAGCTACATCGAATCTGTGATCAAAACAGCCTCACGGAAACTCGGAGTCCTGAACAAGGTGCGACGTTTTTTCACGCCGGACCAGTTATGCCTGCTGTACAAAACACAGGTCCGGTCTTGCGTTGAGTATTGTTCGCACT